AATGACCTCACATTCCTGCAAAATGAGTGTACTGGCCTTCGGAATGGAAGGCTCAAGCTCTTTGGAAATACTACCTGCTGTTCCAGCAAAGCAGGAGCCTAAAGCGTTGGGCCGGGTCCAGGGATCGCATCCAGGAAGCTACATCAGCTACAAGGACGGTTTGTTTCACTGGGGCTGAAGTTCTTGGGGTTCCAGGATTGATCCAGGAGCCATTATTCTGGATTAGAGGCATTAAGGGCACTGGCCTGGGCCGGAGGGTGGGCAGCTCCTTCCTTACACCCTCAAGCTCCGCTGCTGAGGGGGAGCATACAGCCCGGAGACTGCGGAGGCCGAAATTTCTGCCAGCGGGCAGTTGAAGGGAATGGGATGCCCAAGGAAGTGGGCCTCGTGGGAGCCTGTAAGCGCATCAGGCTCCGGGGTGATGACCAGAGGTGTGTACTGTAGATCCCAGTGAGGAGATTTGTACGCGTGATGACGTCCCCGGGGCAGTTGAAGAGAACTGCCGTCTACATGATGGTCTCTGGCGTGACCACGTGCATGAACGAGGAGGCGAGTGTCGTTTTGGTCAGTACCTTTAATACGATGCACTGGACTTCGATGCAGTGAACCTGTGCTGGGGGCGGCCCCGTGGATCCCAGTGCACTTGGAGGTTGGATTTGTCAGTTGTCATCTCTTAAGTTTCCATTACGTGTAGGGCCAGAGCGGCCAGTCCTTGGGGTCAGCGAGGACTGAGGCTGTGAACCAAAGGACGATTTCTGCAGACGACTCCTCCGTGTACTGAGCCTGTGCACACCCTTGGCCAGCCTAAAATTGCCTGGTCACTGCTGGGGGCCAGCATGCCTCCAGCTGGTGACTGTGACCCTACGGGAAGCCTCCCAGTCCTGCCACGGCCCCATTAGCGATCACCATTTGCAGGACGTACAGGTGACACTGGGATCCTTCTGGCATGGCCAGAGCCATTTCAGCCCTGCCTTGACGAGCGCCCTGGATCTAAGGAGATCGTTCAAGTTGGTGACTGGATGTGGCTCTTGTCTTGCCCACCTGGAAGGCCTTCTCCGGGTGCCGGGACGCGATTCAGTGGCCCACATGGGGAGGTGTAGGCTTGTCACCAGCCCATCTGGCTTTCCCACTCAAACACATTGACCCAGCACTGTTGACCATGTCCGGTGCCACCAGCCTGTGTGGAGCCTGCCCTGCTCCACATCACTGTTCATTACAGTGATGACGTATAAGGAGGACGCCTTCCTCTCCTCCTCCTCCATCCTCCTCCATCCTCCCTGTCGCCGCCTGATGGCATCTCCTCACCGCAGGGAACTGGGGCCCCATGTCCACCTCCTGTTACTTCCCCCTAACCTGTTGGGTCTGTAGCTTGCACAACCTGCTGTCACCTGCCAAAAGGGATGGTGGCACCAGGATGTAGAGGTCTTGTTATATGGTGCAAGGGCCTGTCACACATCCTGACCCATGTGCCTCCATCTGGAAACCTCGCTGTAGACCGTGCACGGAGATGGCTCTGAGCAGAGCAAACCTGAGCATGGGTCAGCCTGGTGGCCGAGGCCTGCTCCTCAGTTGGTTCTTAGACTGAGAACTTACTTATCCTACAATGAAGCAAAGATACAAAGGCAACAGAATTTCCAGGAAAAAGTAGTACGTGCTCCAGCTAGAGGAAGGCAGATGCCCTGGTCTCGTAAAAAAAAAAAAAAAAAAAAAAAAAAAAAAAAAAAAAAAAAAAAAAAAAAAAGCTTTCGACAAGGGGCACCTGGCTGGCTTGTTTGGTGGAGCGTGTGACTCTTGGTCTCAAGGTTTTGAGGTTGAGCCTCACGTTGGGCACAGAGATTACCTAAGAAGAAGCTTTCTACAATCTAAACAATGAATGAATAATCTAGCTTTCTAATAAATGGTTTCTACGAGGTTTCAGCATGAATTACTTGCTCCCTGGGAGGAGCAGCAGAAACCAGGGTTTCCTGAGGCCTTGGTTAGCTCCTTGGAAACAGGCCTAATTTGGAAGGAAAGTGTCTCTGACCTGATAGAACCACATAGTTTCCACTTTATTTATTTTGTTATTACTGAGTTAATTACTCAGGAAGCATGGGGGTGGTTATTAATTTGTGGTCTCTAGTGCTAATGACTGTTATCAGTATTAATAACCATTTGCATGGAGCTTTCTTGTTTATGAAGCTCCGCCGTGTACCGCCTTTCATTTTCTCGCAGTGAATTCCTTGGAGAAATCCCACATTTATCCTAATTTTCTCAGTGAATTCATCCTTTTCATTAATGGATTAAAAACTCATTTAGTAATGTACCAGCACATTTTCAGAGAGGAAACCGCTGAATTCTCCCGAACTTGGAATTTGATACGAGCTAGCTTTTGTGGTTTGCAGGGTTAGTTTCATGCCTCTTCATAAGCACCGAGACGAGATACTTTCTTTTTAAAAAATCTAGAAAATGACAGCACGTGAAGACAGAAGCAGATAGATGCTTTATCCGGGATGAGACTATGAAGATTTATTTATTTTTCATTTATTTATTCGTGAGAGACACTCAGAGGCAGAGACATAGGCAGAGGGAGAAGCAGGCTCTCCGCAAGAGCCGGGTGCGGGACTCGATCCCGGGTCCCGGGATCACGCCATGAGCTGGAGGCAGGCGTCCAACCGCTGAGCCCCCCGGGGCGTCCCCGGGAAGTGGTGACATTACAGATGTCAGAGGACGAGATGCGGATGAGTGCTTCTCAGACTTTACCTTGGGGTCTGGTTGGGATGTGGATTCTAATTCGGGTCTCACTTGAGGCCTGAGTGTGAGTGTCTGCAGCAAACCCAGGTGACCATGCTCGGCAGGTGCGCCGCACCTGGAGGTGGCTGTTGGGGCGCGGGCAGGTCGGGTGAGTGTGAGCGCAGGCTGTAGGGTGGAGCTTCCAGCCCCACCTCCACCCGTGCCCTGAGCAGGGGCGCCCACGGCATCTGGGAGACCCCTGAACGAAAGGCAGGGACTGGAGCTTGGCGACTTGAAGATGGTTCTGAGGTGGGGGTCTGGCCAGTGAGCGGAGTGCGGCCTGCTGGGCTGAGGGCCGAGTCCTGTGTTCACCGTCCTTAAAGGTAACGAGGGGCGCCCGGGGCTCAGCGGGTGAGCGCCTGCCTTCAGCTTGGGTCGTGACCCAGGGGTCCTGGGATCGAGTACCGCGTCGGGCTCCCTGCATGGAGCCTGGTTCTCCCTCGGCCTGTGGCTCAGCCTCTCTCTCTGTGCCTCTCATGAATAAATAAATAAAATCTTCAAAACAAATAGAAGGGCGGGGAACATTCCATGTGAAGGACCCTAGGAGAGCCCCACGAGGTGATTGTCCCCAACGCAGAGCCTGCAGAAGCAAGCTGATGCAGGGGGAGGCAGAGCCTTGTATGGCACACACCCCGCTTTACGGAGGACGATGCTCGCGCCTCCAGAGCTTGTGTCACTGGCCCGAGGTGCAGGGCTACCCGAGAGCAGGGCCGGGGCTCGTGTCCACGTCCTCCCCACGCGGGGGTCTCTGGAAGGAGTCGGCTTAAGCCCTGGTGCCAAGCCCGGTGTGGAGCCCAATGTGGGGCTTGAACTCGGGACCTGATCTGGGCCGACCCCACCAAGACAGTCGGGCGCCCCCGGAGGAACTGCCCTCTGGGAGCTCTCGGAACCTGTAATGTGCAGCTTTGCCTTCAGGGAAGGGGAGCGGTGGTGGGGTCTCTTCGTGTGCCCAGGCGGCCCCGCGGGAGCTCGGGTCCTGGCGGCTGAGAGGCCAGAGGAGGCGGATCTCCTTGCCTGTCATGGCCGTGGGCACAGCCTCCTGGGCTGCGGCGTGTGTGGCGCCTGTGTGGTCCTGGGCTCCCCTGCCACGGGGAAGCCCAGGCCGCAGCCTCGCCCGAGCTTGTGGCCCCCGGCCCTGCGCGGCACCTGTGCGCTCCCGGGGGACCCGCACCCTGGCGGGCCGTGCCAAGCAGGGTGCCCACCCCGTGGCCCCTCGGGCGGTGCAGCCAAGCTGAGCGGGGAAGCACTGACCCCGTCGGGGGCTCCTGTGCGGCGCCCAGCCTGGTGCCCGGACTGCCCCGGGGGGCCCGTCCTCGCATGGTGGTCCTCGGTTCCGGCCTGCAGCAGGGCGCCCCGCTCTCTCTGAGCCGGGGATCCTCCTCCTCCTCCCCTTCTCGAAGTTTCTTTCCTAATGTTACCTTATGGACTCCACTGAAAGCACGTGACCAGAGGAGGCGAAAGAGGAGATGCCCGGGTAGACGCCTGCGTGTCAGGCTGCGGGTCCACCGGCGGGCGCCCCGAGCCCGAGCCCCTGTTCCCTCCACCTGCTTCCTTCCTTCCCCGCCCCGAGAGCTGCGGGAGGGCTGTCCTCTGGCCGTGGCCCCGATGCCCCCGGGTGACGCGGTGGTTCTTGGTGGGACTCGCGCCGTGGACCCGCCTCACCCCGCCGTCGCGGCCAGGCTGGCCCCTAGGTCGGGTCCCCCTGTCCAGCCCCCTTTTGTGCCCCCCTCCTGCCGGGCTCCTTCCACGGCCGGGAGATGGGACAAGGCAGGGAGGGCACGCTAGTCTGGGGGCAGTTGGAGGGGCACCTGCCGCTTGCCAGCACCCTCCGGCTGGGGCTCGGGGTGCCGACTCTGGCTCCGCTGGGGCTTCAGACGCTGACTCGAGGGACACAGGCTGTGCCTGGACGCCGCCGGCCACAGGCCTCCCTGCGGGGCTCCGTAGCTCCGCGGCCGCTGCCCCTCCAGGCGGCTCCGCACGGCCGGGCGCTGGTGCCCTGAGCAGGCAGGCGGCCCCCCTGGATCCCCCAGCCCCCCTGATCCCCCAGCCCCCCACAAACTCCCTGGATCCCCCAGACCCCCTGGCTACCCTGAACCCCGCCCCCCCATGTGCTCCTCTCCTGTCCGCCTGTGGTCTTGGCTTGCTCCTCCCAGCTGGGGCTGGTGGGGTTGGGGAGGGAAGCCCCCCCGCCCTGGGACAGAGCCAGCTTCTCGCTCCCTGTCCCCCTACAGGTTGGACTGGTATCGTCTGGTCCCTGTGTGGCTGAGAAACCGGCAGTTGGGGCTGCAGGCCAACGGCCCGCGCTTCACACTGGAGGACTCCACCTTCTGGATCTTGGGGGGCTCCGTGCACTACTTCCGGGTGCCCCGGGAATACTGGAGGGACCGCTTGCTGAAGCTGAAGGCCTGTGGCCTGAACACCCTCACCACGTGAGTCGGGCCCAACCCCAGCGGCCTCTGGCGTGTGCGGCATGTGCCCCGGCTTCCCCTGGGCAGCCCAGACCTCGGGTCAGGGTGGGGGAGCACGGCCCGGTCCCGAACCCGAGTGGCCCCCAAAGGGAATCTTTGGGCTGAGCTCCGTGAGGAGGAGCCGGGCCCCCTGTCCGGGTCTGCGGGGCTCCACAGCCTCCTGCCCAGCCTGGCGCCCCTGTACGTGCGGGTGAGGAGTCGGGCTAGCTGGGAGGCTCCAGAGGAACAGAAAGAGCCCACGGGGGAGCCCAGTGAAGGTGAGCGGGGTGTACGACAGGAAGATGTGGCTGATTTTTATTTTTTTTTAAAGATTTTATTTATTCATGAGAGACACACACCAAGAGAGGGAGGCAGAGGCACAGGCAGAGGGAGCAGCAGGCTCCATGCAGGGAGCCCGACGCAGGACTCGATCCTGGGACCCCGGGGTCACGCCCTGGGCTGAAGGCAGATGCTCAACCACTGAGCCACTCAGACGCCCTGATTTTCAATTTCTTTTAAACCGACACTCCACCCCGCAATGTATCCAGCAAACGAATGTGATCCTTTTTCAAAAAGCTTCCTTGGGAAAGCTGTTTCCAGGCAAAAATAGGTGATCACAGATCAAGGGTGTAGATTTTCTTGAGTGGTTCATGACGTAGCTCTGCAGACGGTCTCTGAAGAGAGTCACGGGATCGGACGGGGCCGCCGCAGCGCAGTTGAGACCTGTGTGTGATGTTCCAGAAGGGCGACCGAAGAGGACGCGCGGGTCTGCACAGGTCGTTGTGGCCCTGGGGGTGCCCTCATTCCCAGGGCAGGACCCCTGAGGCCGCGGGAGCGTTGCCGGCTGAGCGTTGCCTCGTAGAAGCGAGGTCGTCCGTCTCCTCAAGGGTGGGCGCCTCTTTCCCTTCACCTGTGCACGTGGCAGGTGGGGCCGCGGCTGGCCGGGGGGCACCCGTTACAGTTACCGTCACCCCAAACCTCTCCCTGGACTCGGGCCCCCTGCAGAACTTCTTTATTTTCCAAAGATGAGATAGAGAATTCTTTGGAACCTATGGGACTGACTGACGACTGAGGCTTCCTCTTATCTTTTAACTTTTCCTCCTAGGAAGTTCCTTTTTCTTTTCTTTTCTGTGATGAAGGAAGAGTGGGAGAGATGGGGGGTGCACGCTCAAGGTGGCCGTGGTCACGTCGTAGGCTCCAGCTGAATCTCCCTGGCCTGCTCTCCCTTCTGGGGAGGAGGCGAGGGATTAGCCCCCCGGGACTGGCCCCGGCCTCTCTAAGGTCCCTAGATTCCTGCACTTAGGTCTCGGTTCCACACCTGACGCCACTGGGACAACGGACCTCAGAGGTGCATCCGCACCCGTCACGATGGGTTGTAGGAATCCAGAAGCTCACCTAGGACAGGAAGGGAGTCCACGGAAAGCTCACTCCTGTCTTGCCGTCATTACAGTTACGTTCCATGGAACCTGCACGAGCCAGAAAGAGGCAAATTCGACTTCTCCGGGAACCTGGACATGGAGTAAGTGCTCTTGCTGCTTCTCGGCCTTGCCCGGGGTGGGGAGGCAGAGCGGTGGCTCCTTGGGGTTGATGACGACCACGGGGCCGTCGTGGTTCTGCTTGAAGGGGCAGAGAGAGGCTGGGCTCAGGAGCCTCGTTCTCAGGACCAGGCGCGGGCAGCCGTGACCCTGTTGCTCGCGGGGTCGGGGTCTGCGTCCTGAGCCCAGGCCTCTTCACCGCAGCCCAGAGGGGCCCAATCCCCAGGGTCGGCTCCACTCTGCAGTGCGGTCCAGCCACCTGGGCTGGCACAGGGCTTGGCCCTCTAGGGTAGCTGGGCCGTGGGAGTGAGGTTCACTGTAGGGCCCCCTGCCCCCTGTCTGATGGCCTTGGGCCTCATGCCCCCGGTGGGGCTTGCAGAAGGTCGTGGGCTAGGGGAGGGTGGGAACCCAGCTCCCAGGGCCTGTGGAGGGAGGGAGGGAGGGAGGGAGGGAGGGAGGGGGGAGAGGGGCTGGGCGGCCCCACCCCCTTGTGCTGCACCCCCCTGAGGTCCTGAGAGCTGCTGACACTGACCTCCCCAGGGCCTTCGTGCTGCTGGCTGCGGAGATGGGGCTGTGGGTGATCCTGCGTCCAGGCCCCTACATCTGCAGCGAGATCGACCTCGGGGGCTTGCCCAGGTGAGCTTGAGCTGCCCTGGGTGCTTGTGCAAAACGGCAGCCACAAACGTAGGTTGGCTTTTGCTCCCGAGCTCTATTTTTCATTGTGTGCTGAGACTCCTTTTCAGAATAAGTGGTGCCCAGGGGAGGCCTTTCCAAATGATGTCGCTTTATTTTGATAAACTATAGGAGACACAAATTAGTGCTTTTGCTTGCTGCTTTATCTTCAAATCTCAGGCTGTAATGAGTCACGTTAGGGTGTGTGGTCTCCACTAAGGTCCGTGGGGTGCTGCGGGGCTGGAGTAGGAAATCTGGACAGTAATCCCCTCCTAGCACATCGCTGCTTGTCCTCATCCTTACTGGCCTTAATTTTCCACGGAAAGACTTTGTGGTTAGTAGGTTGGTCCTTGCCATCCTCCCGGTGCCCCAGATGGCCTCTGGCCCCTGACCAGGAAGAAGGCTGGGCCTGTTTGCCCTGTGGTCTCCTGGGGAACGGCCTCTCCCTGCCCACCCCCCCCCCACCCCCCGTTTTCCCTCTGGTATCCAGTGCAGCCCAGCACTTCCCTGGGGATCTCACGCAGCCATGTCTCTGTCTCCTTGCTCCCTGGGATCACTCCTCTGTGTCTGTGCCCTTGACAAAGCGGTGCCCGCCCAGCCGAGTGCCCTCCCCTGCACCTGGGGATTAGAAACCTGTGTGTCAGCGATGTCCTCAGGCTCAGCGGCAGCTGCCAGGAGGAGGACGGGATTGAAGGGTTAGCTCTCAGAAGCAGCAAGAACTGCAGCGCTCAGCCCTCCTCCTGGGCGCACCCCCGGGAGCCCCACATGGCGGGGGGGGGGGGGGGGGGCTGGGAGGCCGTAGCCCTGCAGGCCACGGGGAGGGAGGGGGCCGAGTCCAGAAGCTGCGGTCTCCTCCTACCTTTTTACCTAACAAACTGGTAATCTCCAGGCGTGTTCAGGGCTGCTCTCGGAGGACGAAGGGCATCACACCCTCTGTAAGGAAACAGAAGGGTTTTCTCAGGGTCTCCAGTGAGACGGAAGCTTCCTGAGCCTGGCTGTGGCGGGAGTGGCCGCAAAGGCCAGGCCTTGGCAGGCCGCCCCCCCCCCCCCCAGCTCCTCCAGAGCAGCTGAGGCTCCCGAGCCCCAGGGTGACCCTGGAGAGTGGGTGGGAGCGCTGAGAAGAGGGATTAGCCTCCCGGCCTCCCCTCCGTGTCAGGCTGCGTTTCTGGGATTTTCCTTACCCCTCTGGCTTCACCCCTTTGTAGCGAGATCGGGAAGTAAATGCTTCAGCGCTGGCCCAGAGCCAGAACCGGCCCCCGCGGCGGGGCAGGTGGGGAGGGCCCGCTCCAGCCCTGCAGCTGCTTCCTTTCTCCCCCCATCATCCTGCCCAGGGCCCACCCACACACCCCGCCACTAATTCCACCCCCTTTTATTCAAGCTGGTTACTCCAAGACTCTGGCATGAGGCTGAGAACGACTTACAAGGGCTTCACCGAAGCAGTGGACCTTTATTTTGATCACCTGATGGCCCGGGTGGTGCCACTCCAGGTAAAAGCAGGGAGCGCCCTCTCTTGGCTTCCGCCGTCCTGGGAGGCGATGGTCCCAGGGGAACCCGCTCCCCGGGGCCGCGATCTGTGGGCCGAGGTGCTCTGGGCAGTTGGCGCCCGGACATGGATTTGAGCGACAGAGAAGCCCAGCAGCCGGTGTCCTAAGTGTGTACACGCTGGTTGGGTCCTGCATGGAGAGGAGCGTACACGGGTGTGCCCTTACCCGTAGGACAGCGGGCGTTCCGTGGTCCTATGATTACAACTGAGGACTTTCCAAGGTACAGCTTTCTGTTGCCTACCGCAAAGGTGCTGTGCGGGGCACCCCGTGTTCAAAACATGGGTGGTGAAAATCAGTTTTGGGGAGAAAATACCATTGCACGTCACATTTGAAAGCAATACAAAGGCAGGGTTGGGATTAACCCAATGTCTTATGTAAAAATAAGAGTCGTGCTGAGACGTTAGTACATTAATAAAAAAACGCTAGTACATCAGTAAACACTGTCCTTGAGCCAGAGGTTTGGAATGTTCACAGCACCCGCAGATCAAAGGAACTACTTGACCATTTGTAGGGTGTGCAAATAAAACATGGGGTACTCAGTTAAATTTGAATTTCAGATAAACAAGGAATTTTTTTTTAGTATAAATATGTCCTAAATGTTGTGTGAGACATGCCTACGTTGAAAATATCCATGATTTAGGTAAACGTCTATTCATTGTGAATTTTTTTTTATTTTTTTAAATTTAATTTTATTTTTTTTATTCATTGTGAATTTAAGTACAACTGGCTATCTTGTATTTTTATTCCTTAAACCTTGGGAGCCCTAATTATGAAAGAAGTAAGAAGCCAGGAAATGATTAGCCTGGAGTTTTGCAAGGAAGATGGGATTACTGAGATGACTCAGCAGATTGTCGTAGACTGGGTGGTGGAGGTTGTAGGGAAGGTCACGCCAGGAACATGGCTCAGAAGCATCCTTAAATATGGAAGTGGTGTACCCAAAATAAAAAATTCTAGGTATCGGGATCCCTGGGTGGCACAGCGGTTTGGTGCCTGCCTTTGGCCCAGGGCGCGATCCTGGAGACCCGGGATCGAGTCCCACGTCGGGCTCCCGGTGCATGGAGCCTGCTTCTCCCTCTGCCTGTGTCTCTGCCTCTCTCTCTCTCTCTGTGTGTGTGACTATCATAAATAAATTAAAAAAAATTAAAAAAAATTAAAAAAAAAATTCTAGGTATAACATGATTATTTTGTTTTTTTATGGTGACAAAATACATGTAAAATAAAATATGCCATCCTTACCATTTCTGAGTGTACAGTTGACTTGCATTACATACATTCCCATTGTTTTGCGAAGATTACCACCTTCCATTTCCTGGACTTTTTCGTTTTCCCAAACTAAAACTCTAGGAGGATTATACCCTCCTGTCGCCCTTCTCCATAGCCCCTGGCAGCTACCGTTTTGCTTTCTGTCGCCATGCAACTGTCCATTCTGGGGAACCCACAGAAGAAGAATCGTACCGTATCTGTCCGTTACGACAGGCTTCTTTCCCTTAGCATGTCTTCAGGGTTCATCCGTGTTGTAGCAGGTGTCAGAACTTTTTTCCTTTTTAAGACTCCATAATCCCTTGTATGGTTGTACCGCATGTTGTCCATCCACTCATTCGTCAGCGGACGCCTGCATTGCTTCTGCCTGTCGTGGATAATGCGGCCGGGCTAGTTAGTCTCAGGAAAGGTTTGTCAGTTTTGTTAATCTTTTAACAAAAAGATTTGTTAATCTTTTTTGTTAATCTTTTGTTAATCAAAGACCTAACTCTTAGTTTTGTTGATTTTTCTTTATTTTTTTCATTATCTATTTTTTTTTTTTTTTGCCTCTGTTCTAATCTTTATTACTTCCTTCCTTCTGCTACCTTTGAGTTTGGTTCTTTTTCCTAGTTTTCTAAGGTGAAAAGTTAGGTGTTGACATACCACCTTTATTCCTTTTTAATGTGTTTACAGCTATAAATTTTCCTCTTAGCACTGCTTTTGTTGCATCCCATAAGTTTATGTTGAATTTTTATTTTCATTTGTCTCAAGATATTTCCTGATTTCCCTGTTATTTCTTCTTTGGATCATTGGTGATTTTTAAGAGTGTGTTGTTTAATTTCCAAGTGTTTCTGGAATTTGAAATGTGAAGTTTTCAGTGTTCTTTCAGTTTTTGGCTTCTAGTTTCATTCTTTTGTGATTGGAAGAGATACTTTGTATGATTTCAATCTTATAATACTTGTGTCATGGCCTAACATATGATCTGTCCTGGAGAATGTTCCATGTGTATATATTTGAGGAAAATGTGTATTATGTTGTTGGATGGGGTGTTCTATGTGCATCTTTTATGTTCATTGGGTCTATAGTCTTGTTCAATTTCAAATCTAGGTTTTTTCATTAGAAAGTTTAATCCATTTACATTTAAAGGAATTACTGATAGGGAAGCATTTACTTTGGTCATTTTCTTACTAGTTTTTGGTATGTTTTGTAGCTTTTTTTTCTCCCTATCTCCTCCATTACTACTTTCCTTTGTATTCAGTTATTTTTTTTTTTATAGTGACAAGTTTTAATTCCTTTTTTTCATTTCTTTTTGTGTATATTCTGTGGGTATTTTCATTGTGGTAACCATGGAGATTACAGATACTGTGCTAAAGTGATGACGTTCTATTTTATATTGGTGCCACACACAAAAACTACTCCTTTACAGCTCCACCTCCCTGTACATTATTGATGTCAGAAGTGACATCTTTATATATTGTATATGTACAATCTTTACATCTTTATATATTGTATATATAATTATATATATAGTATATATGTATGTAGTATATATACATCTTTATTGTATACTCATTAATATAGATTAGTAATTTTTATGCATTTGTCTTTTAAATCTTATAAAAAAGATTTATAAACTAGAATTAGAACAATACAGGGTTTTATGTTTTTCTTTTTTTTTGTTAGTTTCAGAGGTAGAATTCAGTGATTCAGAAGTTGAATATAACACTCATTACATCAAGAGCTCTCCTCAATCCCATTACCCAATTATCTCTCCCCCCACCTACCTCCCCTCCAGCAAGCCTGTTTGTTTCCTAGAGTTCAGTATATCTTATGGTTTGCCTTCCTCTTAATTTTCACCTTTTTAATTTTTCCTTCCCTTCCTCTATACTCATTTGTTTCTTAGATTCCACATATGGCTGAATCCTGTGGTATTTGTCTTTCTCTGACTGACTTCCTGTGCTTCCCATAATACCCTCTAGTTCCCTCCACGTCATTGCAAATGGCCAAGATTTCATTCTTTTTGACATTTGCCTTTACTGGAGAACTTAGTAGTTTCCTATGGCTTCAAGTCCCTGTCAAGCATCTTTTCATTTCAACTTGAGGGACTCTGTGTAGCATTCTCATAAGTCAAGTCTAGTGGTATCAAACTCCTTCCACTTTCATTTGTCTGAGAATATCTTAATTTTCCCTTGTTTTTTGAAGGATAGTGATACTAGATATAGAATTTTTGCTTGATAGTTTTTTTTCCCTTCATCACTTTGCATGTATCATCCTTTTGTCACTCACTACCCTGCAAGATTTCTGGTGAGATATCCATGGATAGTCTTTTGAGGATTGTTCCTACATGTCAAATTGTTTTTCCCTTGTTCCTGTCAAGACTCTCTTTATGTTTTTGGCTCTGACAGATTGATTGTAATGTGTCTTGGTTTGTTCTCTTGGTTAATGCTACTTGGAGTTCAACGAAGATTCTTGGATTTTTATATCCATGTCTCCTCAGATTTGAAAGGTTTCCAGCCATTAATTCTTCAAATAATCTCTCGACCCCTTTCTTTCTTCTTTTGGAATTTCTGCAATAAGTACATTTGTCTGCTTGCTGATGTTGTGTAAGTCCCTTAAATTCTGTCCACTTTTCTGTAGACTGAATAATTTAAAATGATTTGTCTTCAAGTTAGCCCATTATTTCTTCTTCCTGTGAAGTCCGTTGTTGAACTTCTATGGTGATTTTTTTCTATTCAGATACTGTATTTTTTAGTTCCAGAAATCTTGTATAATTTTTTTATACTTTCTATCTCGTTATTGATATTTTCAGTTTACTGATATGGCCTCTTCCCGATTTCTTCATGTTTTCTTTAGCTCTTTGAGCATATTTATGGCAGTTGTTTTAAAATCTTTGTCTAGTAAATCCAGTGTGTGTTTCTTTAGAGAGGGTTTCTAGAGATTTACTTTATCCTTTTGAATGAGCAGTGTTACTCTGTTTTTTTGCCATGTGTTTGCTTTTGTTGTTGAAAATTGGACATTGGAAACAACAGTCAGCCCCTGCAGTCTTTGCAAACTGGTGGGGAACACCTTCACTATTTGGTGGGCTCCTAAGCATGAAGATCAGCGTGGGGTGATGGCTTTAGATCTTCTCAGATGTTTTCTGGGTATATGTCTAGTCTGTCCTGTGTGGGTGCTGCCTTTTTTTTCCTCCTGATTTTTCCTGGCTGCTTTTACATGTCTTAATTTCCTGAAGAGTCTCACTCCAGCTTCTTTTTGGCCTTCAATGTCTATCATATTTTTCTGCCTATGACCCCATGCACCTCGGCATACATGGGCCTCTAGACCCTCTGAAATTTTCACATGTTGTGACCTTTATTGCCATATGTAGACTCCAACCTCAGGTCCAAGCTATGCATTTCCTGTCTGAGCTCCAAGTTGGATGAGACAGAAACTGGTCTATTGGGCAGCCCACAGACAGCCAGAAGGTTGGAAACAAGTTCCATTTTGCTCCTTCTGTCTTGAGGGAGGGAACTGGGAATTGGGGTACTTTTTTGTGACTACGGCATGCTAAGCCAGGGAGGGAGTGGGGCAAGGGTGAGCCAAAAACACTATGGAATTTCTCATCATTTTAAACATGTTTTTGTTGACTTACTTAAACATTTAACTGGTTTCCAGAGCGCCAATAAAGTCATTTGAGTCCGTCTGTAATTGTTCATTTGATGTTTCCTTAGAGGAACAAGGACCTGGAGCTCCCTACCTACTCTGTGTCTTACTGACAGCATTCTCAATTATGTAATCACATCTTCTGAGACATTTTGCTTTCAAGTGGATTATTTTGCTGGTAATTTGTGATGTGTGGTGAAATTAGTACAGTTTCCACTACAAACTCTGCTTTTGATTATCTCATTCCAGTACAAGCATGGAGGCCCCATCATTGCTGTGCAGGTGGAGAATGAATATGGTTCCTATAACAAAGACCCTGCCTATATGCCTTACATCAAGAAGGTAAGAGTCAGCTTGGTTTATTTCCTTACATTCCCTCCTCTGGATACAGTGTGAACCATGATGTGCTGTGATGGTCTACTACTTTTCCCATACTAATGCCTAATCTCCTAGCACCAATTATTAATTAGTGAATCCTTTCACCGTACTTTTATTTCAGTATTGTTGTCAGTTATTTACCCTTTATCGATTGAGTCTAATTGGGGGTTGCAGTACACACATGGTGTCACAGTGGCTGAGAATAAAGGGACGGGCTTCACTGAGTGTGATGATTAGTAAAGTATCTGTAGAAGCCGCTCTCATTTTGGCATCTAAAGCAAGGGTTCCCAGCTTCATCTGAACACTCACTTTATTTTTTTAATATTTTATTTATTTATTCATAAGACACAGAGAGAGAGAGAGAGAGAGAGAGAGAGAGGCAGGCAGAGACACAGGCAGAGGGAGAAGCAGGCCCCATGCAGGGAGCCCGATGTGGGACTCGATCGCGGGTCTCTAGGATCAGGCCCTGGGCTGAAGGCGGTGCTAAACCGCTGAGCCCGGGGCTGCCCTGAACACTCACTTTAAAAATCCCTATGCCCAGGCCATAGACCGTACCAACTAAATAAGAATCTCTGGGGTGGTCCTCAGACATCTGATTCCAACGTGTGGGTGAGTTTGAGAGCCACTAATTTAATGTGTGGCAGGTCAGGGAAGGGCAGGGCTAGGCCTGTTCTTTTTTTTTAATTTTTTTTAATTTTTATTTATTTATTTATGATAGTCACACACAGAGAGAGGAAGAGGCAGAGACACAGGCAGAGGGAGAAGCAGGCTCCATGCACTGGGAGCCCGATGTAGGATTCGATCCCGGGTCTCCAGGATCGCGCCCTGGGCCAAAGGCAGGCGCCAAACTGCTGCGCCACCCAGGGATCCCTAGGCCTGTTCTTTGAAGTGTCAAAGAACAGGCCTAAGCTTAGACCTGGTTTCTGTCCCTTTGTAGCCGAGGCCTTGAATTGAATGCCTTAATTTTTCTAAACCTCCATTTATTCCTCTTTGAAGTGGGACTAATGGGAGAGTTTGCTTCTCCGGATTGTGCATGTGTGTGAGGTCACTTGGCTCAGGACTATTGTAGACATGTAGTAAGTAGTCCATAAATAAGACTTGGTAGATCATTGGCAGTGGTTTTAGAGGACTCGGAAAGCAGGACCGCGGTGGGGGTTGAGGAAATCTTAAGTGGCCCCAGGGAATCCACCTAATTAAAGCTGCCGGAGCTTTGGCCCGTGAGGTCAGCATCCTGCTGTCCCAGGCAGATTCATTTTCCACCTGGAAGTTACTGCAGTCCCTGCACACAGGCAGACCAAGCTCCCGCGCTCCAGCCTGTAGGTTCTCCATTCCAGGAAGGGGCGGGAGGGCTGACCCGCCTGTGGAGCCCCCTGCAAGCTAGCCTCCGAGTAGGCCAGGGGAGCAGCGCCCCAACTCTAAGGCAGCCAGGGGAGGCCTGAGTCTGACAGCCCCACCCCCACCCCGCTGCACCTCAGCCGACAGTTTTGTTGGACATGGTGGGCACAGAGGCTACGTTTCTGTCCACTTTCTGCAGAGAAGTAAATGCTTTAATTCAAACCGTTCCCTCTGGGTCTCCTAGGTGCCACCTTCCCAGCACTGGGGACTTGGGGACTGACAGATCGACTTGTCTTCTTTTCCCCAACAGGCCTTGGAGGACCGAGGTATAGTGGAATTGCTCTTGACTTCAGACAACAAGGATGGCCTGCAAAAGGGCGTCCTGGATGGAGGTGCTTGCTTGGGCTGTGGGGGGGGGTTGGGGGGGGGACAGCCTGGCCTCACTCTGCACGCTTCCCTGTGTGGCCGGGCCGCGGGGGGTTTCCCTTAGGTCTGAGCTGCCCTCATGGCATCAGGCCTGCAGCTCTGGGCCTGAGGCTTGGGGGATCTGAGGCCCCCACCTCTGGCAAGCGCTCATTCAGGACCAACCACTGCTCAGGACTGGCGAGTTGGTCACCCTAGAAGGCCTCTGGATGTCTGCAGAGATGGCCAAGCAGATGCAGCATTAGGGGGGCCCGTGAGGGTGGCGTGCTCAAACCTGGCCCAAGTCGTGGAGGTGCTGGCCACTGCCCGGGGGCCGTGTTGTGGTGGCAGCTGGCCAGGCAGCAGGCGCTCCCTCCAGCAGCAGACCTGGGGGGCGAGGGGCGCTCCCTCCAGCAGCAGACCTGGGGGGCGAGGGGCGCTCCCTCCAGCAGCAGACCTGGGGGGCGAGGGGCGCTCCCTCCAGCAGCAGACCTGGGGGGCGAGGGGCGCTCCCTCCAGCAGTGTCTGTTCCCTGGACTCGGCCTCATACCCGGCTGCCTACAGGCGCTGGCCCCGCTCCACCCTGTGCCCCAGACGCCTTCTCCCGCAGGCCCCGCGGCCACTGCAGCCCCGTGCTGGGTCACGGACTCTCGCTCCAGGGGATCGTGCATCTGCTGTGAACCAGGCCTCCTCCTCCAAGGCAGATCCCTCCACCCCGCCGTGGCCTACGCAGAGGCTGCTGTGCTTCCCCCTCCCTGCTCGCTGGCTCCCGGGCTCTTCCTTCCATCTCTCCTCCGAGGGCCGTCACCACCCTCCCACTCCCTCTGCTCTTCTCCAGGTGCCCAGTGACCGCCCTGTCACAAGTGTAAATGCTTGTCCCTGTTGCCTCTGATTGTCAGCGACCACCCATGTCTTTCCCTTGAAAGGTTTTCCTCTTGATGTTCCTGGATTTTCTCCGACAGGCTGCTCCCGCCTGGTCTCTCCTGCTGGTCACTTACTTCCCTGCTCCTGAGTTTTGATGTTTAAGTTCTTTCCTTCTTCCTCCTCGGAGTGAATTTTCCTCCTCTCCTGGGGGTGTCCTGCAGGTGCCTTTAACTCCGACGTGTGTGTCCATGAGTGTGCGGTGCTCGTCTCTGTGAGTGGCTGTGCGGGGCTGCAGCCTCACCTGGGCATCCGCCTGCTGGCACGCACCCGAAGGCTGCCGGCCTCCACTGAACCCGAGGGCAACTGAGCCTCTCTCCCTCCCGGAGCTTGAGCCCACTTTGGGTCTTTTTTTTCTCAGTAAATTGCAACTGCATTTCCCCCAGTTGCCCAGACACTAAGCGCTGTGGGTGCTCTCAGGCCTCTCCTTCTAGATGCCTGACACGCAGAAAGTCGTTCATCTTTAGCTTTAGCTTCACATTTATCCCGATCAAGTAATTTTGACCCCATCAGCTGTTAGCATCATTCTCTGTGCGCTGTCCGGACCCCACCTTTTCCCACTCGTGACTCCCAGACCACTTTTTCTTAACGTGGCAGCAGGTGCCACGTCCCCTGGATGGATTTGGGGCTCCCCACAACTCCAGGCCCGGCTGCTGCCTTCAGAGTGGAGTGCAGGTTGTGAGAAAGGCCCCCGAGGGCCCCCTCTGACCTGTGACCCTGCTGGGAGTCTGCTCCCCTCCCCTCCTCCTCCTGTTCCTGACACCTGCTGGGCCCCCCCAGCTTCCCTGCTGCTCCACGTCCCCCCGGGAGGCCCCTCTAGGCGCCCACCCAGCCCTTCTAACAACCCGGGTGGTGGGTGCTCTTAGTCGAGCTCCGTGGGGACGGCGGTGCTGGGGGCCTCCTGCTGCCCGCGCGCCCCTTCCCTCCCCGCGTCGCCTCCACCAGGCTGCACCAGCGGGCCTGTCCTCCGGCCGCCCGGCACCTCCGGGGCCACTGGGGGAGACCTGGGCTGGGGCGGGAGGAGGCCCTTAACCTAGACCCAGATCAGGGAGCAGCCGCCGTTCCCGCCGCTTCCACGAGGTGGCGGCGTCTTCTTGCGGCTGTTCCGGGGCCTCTGGGCACATCCCTGGGGGGCTGGGGGGGGCTGGGCGCCGGGGCCCTCCGCAGGCTGGTGCCCAGGTGGGGTCCGTCCCCTGGGGGGCTGGGGGGGGCTGGGGCGCCGAGGCCCTCCGCAGGCTGGTGCCCAGGTGGGGTCCGTCCCTTGGGGGGCTGGGGGGGGCTGGGGCGCCGAGGCCCTCCGCAGGCTGGTGCCCAGGTGGGGTCCGTCCCCTGGGGGGCTGGGGGGGGCTGGGGCGCCGAGGCCCTCCGCAGGCTGGTGCCCAGGTGCCGCAGCGGCACAGCTGGGCAAGGCCAGGTCTGCGGGGCCGGCTTCGGGACTCCAGGCCCTTCTCAGCGCCCGCTCCGCTCTCCTCCCCCGCCCCGCCCCCTCCACCCCCTCCACCCCCCGCCCCCCGGAGCTCCGCCTGCTGTTGGAAGGGCTCTTTCCATTAATGTGATTAAGGCGCCCGCAGGTGTAGACGAGATGACCGACACCCCGCCGCCGCCTTCCCAGCCCGGACCCGGCCGGGCTCTCCCGGGCCGCGTAGCCCCTGCGTGATTCTGGCTGGCGCGGGCGGGGGCGGGGCCGGGTGAGGGGCGGGGCCGGGTGAGAGGGGGCGGGGCCTGGCGGGGCTGCGAGGAGCAGGGGGGAGGGGAGCGATTTTCTGGCATGATTTACAGTGACTCGCTTTCAGTGTAATTGTACTATTTCACTTTCCTTTTGAGTCTCCTTTCTCTCCCTTTTCTGTTTTATTTCCTGACATTTGGGTGGACACCACCTAGTGGACGCACAAGGTGGCGGTGGCTGTTGGCGTCCCCTCCCCTTCCTAACCCATTATCCAAGATCCCCAGGCTCCTGCCCTGTGTTCCAGTCCTGTACCTGTCAGAGTCCGTGTGATCCGGCCTGAGACCCCAGGGCCTGACCCCTCTCTGACCTCTGCTGAGGCTGCACCCCATCCAAGGCCCGAGACCCCAGGGCCCAATCCCTCCTCGGCCTCTGCTGAAGCTGCACCCTGTCCCAGGCCCGAGACCCCAGGGCCTGACCCTGACCCACCCTCTGCTGAGGCTGCACCCCCTTCCCGGGCCCGAGACCCCAGGGCCTCACCCTGGGGAGGCCTCTCCCTTCCCCTAACTGCACCCCGAGTCCCATACCTGCTGTTGCTGCTGAGGGACCAGGACATCCGGCTTCCTGATCCTCTTACATGTTTTTGCTGTGTTTTTTTTCTTCACACCTCTAGAATATTAAAGGGTTTTCCCTTTATCCTTAGTATTCAGGTGTTTCACAATGACGTTCTTCAACGTGAGATGTTTTCCCTTTTGGGGCACTTCCGTGGGCCATCTGAATTGAGACAGTCGTGGTTGTTGTCAGTAGGACATGGGTCAGTGCAGTTTTTGATGTGCTTTTCTCTCTTCTTCCTGACCTTTGGTCACTCCTGTTATTTGTCAATTGGATTCTCATGTCGATTGTCTAACTCCTTTTTTACATTTATCTTTGCCCTTAGTTCCACGTTCTGGCTGACTTCCTCGACGTCTTTCTCATAGTCCTCCTCTTGAACGTGTTTCCTTCCTCGTGGCACACTTTTTAGATGGGTTCTGTCTTTCTTTCTTTCCTCTGAGGATATTTTACCTTCTTTTTCTTCTCTGTAATACCTAGCAGTCCTGCTCAGTCTTCCACGTGAGAGGATCTTCTCTACCTCTGGGCTCCCGACTGAGCAGAGTAAAGAGGAGGCTCTGAACGGCTGCATGAAGCGGGCAGGGGCTCGGGCAGCGCTCGGGCTGAGACGGCCTCCTGACCCTCCTGACCTGCGGCAGGCCCCTCCCTCCACGCACCGCTGCACTGCGATCCCTCTGGGCCTGGAGACCCCCGGGCTCAGCTTCCCGGAGCGTGTGGTCCCCTGGAGTAGGGCACCGGTGGGAAGGGGCCTGAGTGAGGCAGGGACGGACGTATCCTGGGACGGGCGACGAGGACTGAGGCAGGGGTGGGAGGCCGGTGGACTTCCTGAAGCCTCCTGGGCTGTTTACTGACCCCCTGCTATTTCCAGCCCCTTGAGGTTTTCTTGAAGCTTCCTCTCTGCCTTGTGTCCCCTCGGTCTTGCTCTCGTGGCCTTCCACCCTTGCACCCCTCTGTTCCTGTGAGCGAGGGGCCAGGAAGGCTAGGGCCAGGTGACATGTCGCTGGCCTTGCTGATCTGTTCACTTCTGGGTTTCTCCTGCTGAGTTTCAGACGGGCCTCCTGTCTGCAAGGTTCCTCCCTTGGGGGAGGGCGTCTGGGTGCAGGGTCTTCTCCAGCAGCTCGATGATGACCTCGCAGGACAGAGGGTCAGTGTCACTCGGTGCGGGGGTTGCAGCCCTCGTCTGTCGCTCACCACTCGTATGACCTTGAGGCAGGTCACCTCACCTCCCGGAGTGTGAGCTATGGTTTGTCATCACTGGTGATCAGCTGCTCATGTCCAACGGGAGCATGTCGGGGTGTCAGGGTGGCTCAGTGTGGCTCAGGCGTCCCAGGCCTGCTGGAGTTCACGCCAAGCCTGGTGCTCAGGAGGCCAGCTGTCCAAGCAGACGACAGGCCGGCAAGGAGCCTCAGACCAGCTCTGCAGCCGCGGTGGCCCAAAGGGTCCACGACTGTAGGCCAAATGTAGCATGTCCTTTTTGGGCGTCCTTCTCACTGATGCTGTTTAAGATATAATTTTATTTTTTTAAAAGATCTTGTTTATTCACGAAAGAGACGGAGAGAGAGGTAGAGACACAGGCAGAGGGAGAAGCAGGCTCTCTGCGGGGAGCCCGATGCGGGACTCAATCCCAGGACCCCGGGGTCATGCCCTGGGCCCAAGGCAGATGCCCCTCCGCTGAGCCACCCAGGTGTCCCTAAAATACAACTTTAGATGAAAAGATGGACGTATTATGGAACGGAATAGAAAGTTAGCCCTCATTTAAGAAACGAAAGGGGAGTCTTCACTTAGAGGGTTGCCTGGCACAGACGCCTGCGGTGAGAGGCGGGGCTTGGGCCGGGCTCCTACCAGGAGCAGAAGCTGCGCTCTGGGTACAAGAACGACGTCCGTCAAGGGTACGCCCAGCGAGCGGCTGCCTGTGAGCTCCGCGGGGGGAGAGGATTGCGGGGAGTCTCCTGACACCCGAGGATCTAAACCCTCGCCGGAGGTGGGCAACGCCGTGGGCTTCTGTGCCTTTGCTAGCCCGAGTGCCCCCTGGGCTCTGACACGGTGCCCGCTTCGTCCGCAGCGCTGGCCACCATCAACCTGCAGTCCCAGCACGAGCTGCAGCTACTGACCAACTTTCTCGTAAGCGTCCAGGTGAGTCCGGCGGCAGCGTGGGAGGCGCTGGAGCTCCGAGGGGCCATGGCGCGGGTGCGGGGAGCCCGGGGCACTGGGCCGGGGAGGGGGACCTGCAGCGCTCAGCCCTGTGCTCCTGTGGCCGCCCCGCCCCAGGCAGGCCGTGGCTCAGGCGTTGCCCTGTAGACGGAGGCCTGGGTGTGGTCTCCGCCCCCCGAGGCCCGGGCTTGTGTTCCCGAGGCTCTGGACCAGAACTGTCGGTCCCCATGAGCCCAGCTGTGCTCATTTTGGGATTGAGAGGAGAAACGCTGTCCTGTCCTGCACTGTGTCTGACCCTAAGCCGCCCCCCCATCCCCGGGCCTAGAAGGATCGTCATCAGCGAGATGAGAAGCCCGGGCCGGCTTCTCGGAGGAGGGGGCTCTCCGAGTCTAAGTTCCATCCTCCAGGTGGACGGGAACCTCCAGCCAGAGCCTGGTCCTGTCGAGCTCTCGGGCTCGGGGCCCGTCCCCCGGGGCAGCTGGGATCACAGCAGGGGCAGTGCCCGAGGAGCCGACCCAGGTCTCCCCGTGTCTCACTGGGGGCGGTGGATGCCCGACTGTTAGTGCCTGTTGGGTGCAGGCGTCGCCGCCCGGGCCTCGTGGGCGACTCTGGCAGTGTCCGTGGCCCCCATCCCGGCTGGTCAGCTGTTGGTGCCCCAGAGCAGATGTCGCATCTGCAGGCACGTGGACAGGAAGTCCCCACAGGAGTGTGACACCCCGAGCATGGGGGCACCTGCGTGTGTGCGAGGGACCAGTGTTAGACCGACCGGGGAGAGGTAGGGGTAGGGGTCCCCGCGAACGCCCCGCAGCCAGGTGGGGTTCCCCTGAGCGCTGTCGAGGCAGGTACCGGTGCTGCGGGCTGTCTGCTCTGGGGGCCGTGCGGCTGCTGCACTTCCCTCCCTCCTCTCGCGGAGTGGGGACGGTGACAGGACCCCCTCGGGGGCTGGTGAGGGCCAGGTGACGTCAGCTTGGAAAGCCCCCAGGAAAGCCAGGCTCGCTGCGGGCTCCTTGGCTGGGGCCCCACCCGCGTGTACCCAGGGTCCTGCCGCTGACGGGCGCCAGGGTGGGGGCCCTTCTGTCCAGCAGCACCCCCTGCGCCCTCGGGTGCCTGCCCCATGAGGGGGCTGAGCAGCGTGGTGTCCTCGGGCACTTCCAGTGCGAGGCACCATGTGCTGGAAGCGTCCGTGCAAGTTCCCTGGTGACCGGGCGAGCTGGCTACGGTGGGTGCCATTGTCCAGGTGCGGGGCCGGTTTGCAGGAGCAGCAGATGTCCGGCAGGTGGCTGGTGATGGCAGTTGGCGCAGCTGGCGGAGGATGCGGGGCAGGCCCTGGCCGTGGCTGGCCCCAGTGCCTTGGCCCTGGCTCCCCTGGCGCGGGGAGCCCTGTGGCCCAGGAGGCTGCTGGCACGTGGCGCTTACACTGCGTGTTCCCTGGTGACCTAACGGTGTGGTGCTGGCCCGCGGCTGGGGGCCCGCGGCTCTGAGGATCCCAGCTGCCTGTCCTGCTAGAAAAAGGACAATCCGCAACAGCCTTGCTCCCGGTGTGGCTAGTGTCTGCTGCCCAGTGGGTCACGAGTGCGCCCCCTGGCTCTGGTCTTGTGCTACTGCACGTGTGGTGTGGCCAGCCTGTCGGGGTGGGGGGACCCCTGCACCCCTGGGGCCACTGGCCCTGGTCGGTGCTCTGCAGCGGCTCCGAGACACCCCAGCCGAGGCGCAGCCGGGCTTGCAGGTGCGGGCGGGACGTGAGCGGCTGTGCCGGCAGCTCCCGGGTCTCCCCAAGCAGGGCTGTCGGTCTTAAGCTAGCCGTCCAGGAGGGGCCGGCCCCCCAGCCCTGTGACCCTGCGACCCTCCCACTGCGGGGAAGCGGCCGCGGAGCCGCCTGCGTCCACGGGGAGCCCGTCAGGAACGGAGTGATCCCGACGGAGAATTCTCCTTCCCGGGGAGAGGATGAGCAAAGCTTGGCCTGACCCGGGAGGCTGAGCCTGGGGACAGCAGTCGCCGAGCGCATGGGAGCCCTGACGCACGTCTGGGTTCCGTCTCTAGAGGCGACTCTAGAACCAGGTTAGGGCGTCAGGGGCCCTCGCGTCAACCTGGGTCCCCAGCTCTGTGCAGAGGCCGCAGGTGGAGGGGAAGCTGGTACAGGTGCTTGCGGCCGTCGCCTGCACTCGCTCTCGGGTCCTGCGTGGCCCAGAGCTTGAGGCCAGGGGCCACGCGGGAGGAGAGACAGGCCAGGTTTCCCAGAGGAAGGACCCCCCTCTGCCTCTCTCGGCTAGCTAACCTCTCATTTTGTGGTGCCCAGAGGGTTCAGCCCAGGATGGTGATGGAGTACTGGACGGGGTGGTTTGACTCATGGGGAGGCCCGCACAACATCCTGGATTCATCTGGTGAGTGCTCTGCGCTACCCCCGCCTAGCGCGCGTGCTGATGCGTGGCAGGAGTCGGTTCCTTGCGACCCAGTAGCTGCTGTCGCTGCGCGGTGGGGGCCAGGCTCCGGGGGGACCTGTGTCGTGCTTGGGTGGTGCTGCTGCAGAGCCCCCGTCTTCATGTCTTCACGTCTCCAGTGGGTGGCAGGACCCTGTGCAGCGCTTTACTGTTTCTGTGATCACGTAAGTGACGCATGGTGGCCGCAAACATCCAGCAAGTGCCAAGAAGGTGGGAAGAGGAGGTGAACGTCCCAAAGCCCCAAGGGAGCACACGTGGGCCACTTGTGGGCGGCCAGGGGAGAGGCATGCTGAGCGCCCGCCCGCTGGAGGTCTGCTGTGTGCTTTGATGGCCCCTAGACCGAACAACCAGTAGCCTCCTGCCAGTGGGAGACCCGCAGGTGGCCTGGACAGCTGGCGCGGTGGCCTGTGCCATGTCCGGATGGAGGGGCTGCGCAAGGTCATAAGGAAGAGCAGGTGTGCCTGCAGAGGTGCAGCCCAGGCCCACATGGCCCAGCCCTGCATGGTTCGCAGGGACCCTCGTGGTCGTAGCCGCTCTCCATTACCTGCTGGTGGCCTGGCCGTTGCCGGGGTGCAGGCTGCGGACCAACGTGCAGGTTGCTTCCCGAGGTCTCCATTCGTGGAGCACGTCGGCGGGGAACCTGCTCGGACGCCGGGTTTTGCAAGCCCGGCTGCTTCCCGGGGGAGGCCGCGTTGGTTCCTGGCGTGTAGGTTGCGCTCTGTGGAAGACAGCAGCGGCGCCTACCGCTCCTGGGGGGGGAGCGTGGCGGGCCCAGTGGCACTGGGACGGCTGTCGCCAGCCGCGAGCCGGGTGCGGGGCGCACGTGCGTCGGTGCCGATGCCAGTGTTTCTCCCGCGCCACTGCCCTGCCGTCTTTGCCCGCTCTGCTGGAGGTGGGGCGGGGCCTGGTCTCCGAGCCCCTCCCCCGCGCGATCGCGCCTCCAGTGGGTGTGCAGGCAGAGCTGGAGCTGACGGTGGCGGCCCAGGTCGCGATCGGCTGGTCCCCTCACCCGCAGAGGTTCTGAAGACCGTGTCCGCCATCCTGGACGCTGGCTCCTCCATCAACCTCTACATGTTCCACGGGGGAACCAACTTCGGCTTCATCAATGGAGCCATGCACTTCCACGAGTATAAGTCTGACGTCACCAGCTACGGCAAGTGTCCCCAGCACAACCCGGCCCAGACATCCCACGTTTGTGTGCAGAGTCAGTGGGACTCGCGTCTGGCCCCCTTCATGCGTGGGGCCCCGGAGCGCCTGGGGATGGGGTGGTTTTGCCTGGACCGTCGCCTGTAGACCCCAGGGCAGGAGGGGGTACAGCCCGCGGGTGTGCTGTGAGCCCATGGGGGGCACGGGAAGAGGGGAGCACAGCAGGCCGGGGCAGCCCGTCCTCGGGATGCAGCCCCTGGGCCCTGAAGGGAGGTGAGCCGTGGGGAGTCGGGGTGGTGCCGGGCCGTGGTGTCCCAAGGTGCCAGGGCTGCTGTGCCCCCACCGGCTGCCTCCCCGGTGCTGGGAGGGGACCCCGCCGCGCGTCCCAGGGTCTGGCTGCCCTTCCACGGCCTGACGGCGCCTGGTCCCACAGACTACGACGCGGTGCTGACCGAGGCCGGGGACTACACCGCCAAGTACTTCAAGCTCCGGGACTTCTTTGGCTCCCTCTCAGGTGCCCGATCGCTGCTGCCTCACTGGCAGTGGGGTCCTTGCCTTAGCCCGCCCCGCGGGGTTCCTTGCCCTGCCCCGTCCCAGCCCGGCCACCTGCGAGTAGGGCTGCCCCAGCCTGGCCACCTGTGAGCAAGGCCGTCCCAGCCTGGCCACCTGCGAGCAGGGCCATCCCTAGATGCTGGCAGGCAAGTCTGGGACACTGTCCTCATCACGGTTTGCGTCCCGACCCCCGAGGTCGCCCCCGGCTCCCCGCCTTCTGCCGGCCTTCTTCCAGGCGCCGGGAACCCTCAGCGAGGCTTTTCTCCGGGCTCGGGGGTAAAGGAGCCCGCGGGGTGGATGGGAGCCGGGGGCGCGACCGGGTCCCTGAGGGGTGGCTCTGTGTGTGTTGCAGGTGTCCCTCTTCCTCCCCAACCCAGCCTCCTCCCCAAGATCGCCTATGAGCCCGTGAGACCGAATCTGTACCTGTCCCTGTGGGACGCCCTGCAGCACATGGAGGAGGTGGGTGGCGCGGGGCAGGGCTGTGGGGGGAGGAGAAGCCGGCGAGGCAGCCTCGAGGTCCCCTCTGCGGCCTTGGAGCCAGGAGCAGGCCTGTGCCAGAGCGCGAGGTGCGAGGGACCAGCGGAACTGGAAGGGAACCGGAGCTCAGGGGGGTCTCTCCGGCCTGGTGGACGGGCACAGGGTGGGAGGCCTGTGTGTGGGCCGCAGCCCTAAGGCCAGGGGCCCCCCAGGCGGTGCAGGCACGGTGGGGGTGGCGGGGCTGCACGCCGGTCCATCGCTGGGCCTCCTTCTGTCGCCCTCCCTGAGCCCCGACGGCCACAGGGCTGAGCCACCGAGAAGTTCCCATCCGATCCCCGAGCACGCTGGCCGCCTGCCTCCTGCGTTTGCGTAAAGGAGGGGAGCTAGAGGAGGTCAGAGGGCCTGCTTCAGGGCCCGGCACCCCCCCCCAGCCTCGTCTCCCTCCACTGTCCCCCGCATAGCCCTTCAGTTCCGAGAAGCCGGTCAACATGGAGAATCTGCCAGTGAACGACGGGAACGGGCAGTCCTTTGGGTACACGCTGTACGAGACCACCATCGCCTCGTCGGGTGTCCTCAGTGGTCTTGTGCGTGACCGGGGCCAGGTAGGGGCAGTTTCTCTCTCTCGTAAGTGTTTTATTTGATATTGATTTAATTAACACAATTTCAGAGGTAGAGTTGGGTTACTCAGGGCTTGCATACCACACCCAGTGCTCCTGACGTCACGGGCCCCCCGGAGTGCCCGCCACCGGTCACCTCATGCCCCCCCCACACCTCCCCACTCTGTTTCCTGCACTCGTCTCTGATGGTTTGTCTCCCTCCCTGTGTCTTACTTTATTTTTCCTTCCTTCCTCTTCTGTTCATGTTTTGTTTCTTAAATTCCACATATGAGTGAGGTCATATGGTATTTGTCTTATTCCGGTGGACGTATTTCACTCAGCATCAGACCCTCCAGTTCCATCCGTGTCACTGCAAATGGCAAGATGTCATTTTTTTATGGCTTGAGTAATATTCCACGTATACAGAGACCACAGCTTCTCTATCCATCATCTGTCGATGGGCACCGAGGCTCCTCCCACAGTTTGGCTATTGTGGACATTGCTGCTATAAACATCAGGGAGCAGGTGTCCCGGTGTCTCACTGCATCTGCATCTCTGGGGGAAATCCCCAGCAGTGCAATTGCTGGGTCGTAGGGCAGGTCTATTTTTAACTCTTTGGGGAACCTCCACACAGTTTTCCAGAGTCGCTGCACCAGTTCACATTCCCACCATCAGTGTAAGAGGGTTCCCTTTTCTCTGCATCCTCTCCAACATTTGTGGTTTCCTGCCTTGTTAATTTTCCCCATTCTCACTGGTGTGAGGTGGGATCTCATTGTGGTTTTGATCTGTATTTCCCTGATGGCCAGTGATGCAGAGCATTTTCTCATGTGCATGTTGGCCATGTCTATGTCTTCCTCTGTGAGATTTCTGTTCATGTCTTTGGCCCATTTCATGATTGGAGTGTTTGTTTCTTTGGTGTTGAGTTTAATAAGTTCCTTATAGAACTTGGCTACTAGCCCTTTATCTGATACGTCATTTGCAAATATCTTCTCCCATTCTGTAGGTTGTCTTTGAGTTTTGTTGACTGTATCCTTTGCTGTGCAGAAGCTTTTTATCCTGATAAGGTCCCAAGAGTTCATTTTTGCTTTTGTTTCCCTTGCCTTCATGGATGAATCTTGCAAGAAGATTGCAATCTTGCAATCTTGAATCTTGCAAGTTCAAAAAGGGTGTTGCCTGTGTTCTCCTCTAGGATTTTGATGGAATCTTGTCTCACATTTAGATCTTTCATCCATTTTGAGTTTATCTTTGTATATGGTGCAAGAGAGTGGTCCAGTTTCATTCTTCTGCACGTGGATATCCAATTTTCCCAGCACCATTTATTGAAGAGACTGTCTTTCTTCCAGTGGATCGTCTTTCCTCCTTTATTGAATATTAGTTGACCATAAAGTTCAGGGTCCACTTCTGGGTTCTCTATTCTGTTCCATTGATCTATGTGTCTGTTTTTGTGCCAGTACCACACTGTCTTGATGACCACAGCTTTGTAGTACAACCTGAAATCTGGCATTGTGATGCCCCCGGCTCTGTTTTTTGTTTTTGTTTTTGACATTTCTCTGGCTATTTGGTGTGTTTTCTGGTTCCACACAAATTTTAGGATTATTTTTTGCAGGTTGTGAAAAATGTTGATGGTGTTTTGATCGGGATCATACTGCTCTGGGTAGCATAGATATTTGAACAATGTCTGATCTTCCAACCAACCCATGGTCATGGAATGTTTTTTCCAGTTCTTTGTGTCTTCCTCTGTTTCCTTCAGAACTGTTCTGTAGTCTTCAGAGTGCAGATCTCTTACCTCTTGGTTGGGCTTATTCCTAGGTGTCTTACGGTTTTGGGTACAGTTGTAAATGGGATCATTTCCTTGATTTCTTTCTTCAGTCCCATTGTTAGTGTATAGAAACACAACTGATTTCTGGGCATGGTTTTGTATCCTGTCACTTTGCTGAATTGCTGTAGGAGTTTTAGCAATCTTGGGGTGGAGTCTTTCGGGTTTTCCACATACAGCATGTCACCTGTGAAGAGTGAAAGTGCGACTTTGCCAATCTGAATGCCTTTTATTCCTTTTTGTCGTCTGACTGCTGAGGCTAGGACTTCCAGTACTATGTTGAGCAACAGGGGTGGGAGTGGACATCCCTGTTGTGTTCCTGACCTTAGCGGAAGGGCTCTCAGTTGTTCCCTATTGAGAAAGGTATTCGCTGTGGGCTTTTTGTAGACGGCTTTTATGATATTGAGGAATGTTCCCTCTCTCCCTACACTCGGAGAGTTTTATTCAAGAAACAATGCTGCACTTTGTCAAATGTTTTTTCTGCATCAATTGAGAAGATTATATGGTTCTCATCCTTTCTTTTATTAATGTGATGTATCCTGCTGATCGATTTGTGTATGTTGAACTATCCCTGCAGCCTAGGTATAAATCCCACTTGGCCGTGGTGAATAATCCTCTTAATGGACTGGATGGATCCTGTCGGCTAGTATCTCGTTGAGAGTTTTTGCATCCGTGTTCAGCAGGGATATTGGCTGGCCTGTAATTCTCCTTTTTGGTGGGGTCTCTGTCTAGTTTTGGGATAAAGGTCATATTGGCCTCATAGAATGAGTTTAGAGGTTTTCCCTCCATTTCTATTTTTGAAAAGTTTAAGAAGAATAGATGTTAATTCTTCTTTAAATGTTTGGTAGAACTGGGATCCCTGGGTGGCTCAGCGGTTTGGTGCCTGCCTTTGGCCCAGGGCGCGATCCTGGAGACCCGGGATCGAGTCTCACGTCGGGCTCCCTTCATGGAGCCTGCTTCTCCCTCTGCCTGTGTCTCTGCCTCTCTCTCTCTCTGACTACAATAAATAAATGAATGAATGAATGAATGTTTGGTAGAATTTAGCGGGAAAGCCGTCCGACCTTGGACTTCTCTTGTTTGTTGGGAGACTTTTGATGACAGCTTACCTTTCCTTGCTGGTTCTGGGTCTGTTCAGGTTTTCTATTTCTTCCTGTTTCAGTTTAGGTAGCTTATATGTTTCCAGGGATGCAGCCATTTCTTCCACATTGCCTAATTTGTTGGCATATAGTTGCTCATGATATTCTCTGACAATTGTTTCTGTGTCTTTGGTGTTGGTTGTGATCTCTCCTCTTTCATTCTTGATTTTATTTGCACCCTTTCTCTTTTTTTTTTGTTAGGTCTGGCCAGGGGTTTATTGATCTTGTGAAGTCTTTCAGAGAACAAGCTCCTAGTTTTGTTGATCTGTTCTAGTATTTTTTAAAATTTCTATATCAGGGATCTCTGCCCTGATCTTGGGGCGTTCTTCTCTTATTTCCTGTGACCTTGTAGTCTGGAAGCCCTTCCATACACGTCTGACTCTCTCTCCTCAGTGCTCACATATCTGGCTGTTGCCAGTGAGTAGAAAGGGCCCATCACCTCAGCTCTGTTGTCCTTCTCACTATAGTCAAGGACATTTGTTTTCCGTCACTTCTCGGCTAACCCCGTATCCACCGTACACACAGAACGTTACCCCTTCTTTGCTTGGCAGAGACCCCCGCTTGTGCCTCCCTCCCACTCATCCGTGGATGCTCTCTGTCTGCTAATTTGGCAGGTGTTTGTGAACACAGTGTCTGTAGGATTCTTGGACTATGAAAGGAAGAAGATCGTTATTCCCTTGGTCCAGGTGTGTTACCCTGGGGAGCTGCACCAGCTGCTTCCTGAGCAGGTTTGGTGGGAGGAAAGGAGAAAGACCTGGAAGACACGAGGCTCCTTCACCACGGAGCTGCTGATGGAAAGAGGGGCAGACTATTGCTAATGATGACCCCCAGGAAAGAACTGGGATTCCACAAGAAACTCTTGAGGTGCAGCTGGGACCTTGTGGCTGGGTAATCAGGTGGTGATCCCGGGCCACGGTATTCCTGGCAGGGTTACACCAGGCTGAGGATCTTGGTGGAGAATCGCGGGCGAGTCAACTACGGGGACAACATTGATGACCAGCGCAAAGGTGGGTCATGGCGTGTGCCAGGAGGAGTCAGCTTCTGGTGCTCGTCCGTGCCAGGCTGTGTCTCCTCCATACCAGTACGACCTGGCCGTGGAGCCTGAGTGCGATGGGTCATGGTGGCCCGTTGGAGGGAACTGGGTTGTAGACACCCATGAAGGGAGGTGGGTCATGGAGGCCCAGTGGAGGGAGGTGGGTTCCAGAGGCTCACTGTAGGGCAGTGGGTTGTGGAGGCCCCTTGGAGGGAAGTGGAAGGGGGCCTTTCTGAAAGGCCCACTTGGGGTCTGACCTCTTTCTCAGACATGCTGTCCACACATCCATGGTGAGCACACAGAACTTTGAGCCAGTCTCTCCAGATCTCCTTGGGTTGCACTCTGCTTCAGCAGGGGACTGTCTGCGGGAGCTGGGCTGGGGCGGTGAGGCTGGAGGAAGGGGGCTCCCAGAAAGCCAAGCGTGGCATGGGACCCCTGCCTTCTTGGGTCTCCACTCTGGATTTTTCTTTCCTTTTTTCTCTTTTATAGTTACTTATTTATTTGAGGGAGAGAGAGTGCATGTACGGTTGCAAGTGGGGGAGGGATGGAGAGGAAGAGAATCTCAAGCACACAGCACTGAGCACAGGCCCCACGCGGGGCTGGATCTCACAACCCTGAGACCGTGACAGGAGCTGAAACCAGGAGCCAGCCAGGTGCCCCAGACTTTCTTTCCTGGATGCACATGGAAGCCCAGAGGTGATCTTGGGGGCCGGGGGGGCGTACACACGGTGAACGACATGCCCTTGATGGCGTGCTCCCCTAGGAGTATTCCGCTCTGTTTTCCTGGCCTCCTAAACCTTCTCTGCTTGAATTGGACTCTTCCTTTTTATCTTTCAAAATGTGGGCAGTTCCATGTAGGTTTTAAGAATCCAGACAAATCCTACTGTGGTAGGGGATGCGGGCAACCTCCCCTCTCTCCCGGATGCCTGCCGTTGTCATAGAGGACCCGTGCCTCCCTTCTTTTCCAGCCTGGGAAGCACCGTGGCCCCACTGTGGGCTTCTGGGGTCCTGGGGTTTAGGCCGCTCCCTCCACATAGGCCTCATGGTAGCTCCTAGCACCGTCCGGGCCTCCTTTTCCCTCACAGAACCACCAGTGTTCCTCTCTGGACCTGGCCTGCTCCCCTAAGGAGCCCAGCCTCGGGCCCATCTTCCCTTCTTTGCTCTCCTGCGGGCTGGAAGGGATCGCCTGGCCAGCCCTCTTCCCAGTCTGCGTCCCAGGCTCCAGAAGTGCGTGGGCTCTCACTTACCCCATGGAATGTTCCGTGTTTATAAGTCTGAGACACCGCCCCCCATGCACACACGCCTGTACTGTAATTTCTGGGTCTGCAGCTTTCATGAAAGCTGTTTGCAGCCCTTGGCCTGTTGAGACTCCGTCTCTGGCAGGTCAGCAGCCCCGTGGTCATGAGCTGCATGGTTGTTGCTCCAGGACCAGTGCCGCTGGCCCCTTCCCAGGGCGCTCGTCCATCCGTGTGCAGGTGTGTGTGTGTCCTTGCACACGGGCCGGTGGGTGCCCACGTCCCATTGCCACGTCTTCACGGTGGAAATACATAAACGCTGTAGCTGTGATCCCAGGTCACATGGCTGCGGTATTAGGCCTGTGCAGTCAGGCCCTTGAGCTAAGTGAGCACCACCGCGACCCTGGATTATCTGCCCTCGGGCCTCGTTGCGTGTTGGAAGGTCTTCTCGCCAAAGGGAGCTTCCCGCAGAGAGCGGCGAGGGGCCCTGGTCAGCGGGACAGTGTGACCCGCTGGCCTCCCGTATTCTTTCTGCAGGTCCTAGGGAGGTCCTGGCAAATCCTGCTCTCACCCATCCGTTTCTCCTTGCGGATCTCCGGGGGTTTCGTGCCATATGGACCTCGGAGGAACCCTCACCGGAACTTTGCAGAAACCGCATGGATGTGCAGGCCCTCCGCTGGGTCAGCTGTGCCCCCGCCTGCGGCCTCATTCCGGTTTCCGTGCTCCCTTCCCACAGGTTTGATCGGAAACATCTATCTCAATGATGCTCCCCTGAAAAAATTCAGGATCTACAGCTTGGATATGAGAAAGAGCTTCTTTCAGAGGTGGGTTCCCGCCCTTCCAAGCATGTGAACCCATGGGTGACAAGCAGCGAGCATCAGCAAGGCCTCGAGACCTGCCCTGGCCTGCCTCCCAGGCATGGTGGGCGGACCCCGGGCTCCGGGCGACCTGCCCAAGGACTCCCACCCCTCCCCGGAACCGGTGGGCACGGGCAACGCCCTTATAACGACATTTGGGACGGGGGCCCCACCCTGAGAACGTGCCGACCTTTCCTTCCGGCCTCCCATTCTGCTCATAGGTTCAGTGTCGACAAGTGGAGCCCTATCCCAGAAGCACCCACGTTCCCGGCTTTCTTCCTGGGTGCCCTGTCCATCTCCCTTTCCCCCTTCGACACCTTCATGAAGCTGGAGGTTTGTAGTCCCCTCCCCGCTGGGTTCTCGTCCTGCCTCGGAGCGCTCTGAGCCCGGCCTGCACCCGCCCCTGCTGGTGCCCCCGGAGGCCCTGTGTTGCCCTCTCTGAGGGGCCCCGGGGTGGGGGGCGAACTCAAGGCAGAGGAGCCGCCTGCTGGTGCTCGCCAGGGCCTAGGTCTGAGCTTGGGCGCCTAGTGTGTTCGCCTCACGGCTGCTGAAATCTCTGTTCACATGGAAACCGGGAGAAGAGCACGTGGCATGTGTCTGTCTGTCTTCCCGGGATGATGTGTCCGGTGGTTTTCATGGTCAACTAACCCCTTTCCCACTCTGCTTAAAGGGCTGGGAGAAGGGGGTCGTCTTCATCAACGGCCAGAACCTTGGACGCTACTGGAACATCGGACCCCAAGAGACCCTGTACCTCCCAGGTGCCTGGTTGGACCAAGGCATCAACCAGGTGGGCACCTGCAGCTCCTTCCCTACCCCGGGCCTCCCCCGTATCGCAGCTTCCCGGGGAGACCCCCGGTCATGGTCCGTGTAGGCTGTTTAGGGCTGGAACCCCCTCCGGGTGCCCCCTCCGTGCCGATGACCCGGGGTCCCGTCCCTTCCCCCGAGGCAGCCTCCTCTGGCTCCAGAACCGAGCCCTGCTGCTGTCACACACCAGCCCTGTCCCCCCAGGTCATTGTTTTTGAGGAGAGGATGGCAGGCCCTGCAATACAGTTCACCGAGACGCCCCACCTGGGCAGGAGCCAGTACCTGGACTGAGTGGCGCTGGGGACCCACCCGGAGGGCACGCTGCCCCCATCCACGGCCTGCCACTCTGCTCCTGTGCACCCCCCGCATGCCCCCTGCACACCCCATGCAGTGGAGCTTCCTCCAGCAGCACCTGCAGGGGCCAGGGGCCGCAGCTGGGCCCACTGGTTCCCGTCAAGACCCTGGGCCTAGAGGGATGGGCAGGACGGAGGGACCCCTTGTTACCTAAGGCTCTGCGGCTGGCCTTTTCCTATTTCTCTTTGGGGGAGGACGGAGGGGTGCAGCCCTGGGGGCAGGAACGTCTCCGATGTCCCCGGGATGACGCCTGGGGCCCTCCGTCGGGCGGGACCTCCAGACCCAGTGGCTCCTGTGCTCTCACCTGTGCTCCCCCATGCTCTCCTGGCCCGTTTCCATCTGAAGGCAGAGGAGAGGGGCTGGGGAAGGGCGCGGGTGCTCCCCTGAGCCACACTGCTGCTCAGCCTGCCCCAGGCCACCTCTGGGATCCGGGAGGAAACTGCGCAGAGAAAACACACACGTTCTCTCCCCTCATTTCTGCTCCAACTGCATCTGACGAGAGGACAAGCAGGCTCAGCAGAAACAGAAATACCCCGGGTTAGCGAGGATTTCCGGTTTTACTCTGAGCAGAAGCGGCCGTGGAGGATGGAGCGCGGACCCCGTAGGAAGCTCCGCCGGCTGGGAGGCCGCCCCGGGGACGGCAGGCAGCCTCGGGTGTCGCTGTAGCCACGGGGCCCCCAGGCCTAGCCCACGCCTTGCCTCCGGCTCGGGGTCCCCCCCTTAGGCTCCTGGGGCTAAGCGGTGGGCGGAGAGGCCTTCGCGGTCGTCTGTCCCAATTCCAGGTGCTCCTTCTAGGGACTGAGCCCCCGGCAGCTCGGGCTCACCATCCTGACTTGCAGTAAAGCAGCAGAGTTGAATCAGACCCTTTGGGTGATGTTTTTCGGATCCCGTCTGTGCCCGTTGATCCCAGGGGAAGGCACTGTGGGCTCGGGTACCAGGGGGGCCACCTGGCCTTGGGGTCTCGACTCGGACTCCACCAGTTAGCGGATGGTCCAGCCCCTGTCTCCTTCCCACCCCCTTCCTGACCTTCGTTCCGCCTGGAAGGTCCTCGGAAGTGCCCTTGGGGGGAAGGAGTCGTGTGCAGGTCGTCCTGGTGCTGCGGGCGGCTGGGAGACCGCTGGACGGCCCAAGGCTCCACAGGGGACGCCCGGGTCATGCTGGCCCACGTCGTCCTCCATGCACAGGGTTAGGTGGGGGCACCTCAGGACCGTGTCGTCACTAGGAGCCCCGAGGCTGTGTGGGGGACAGTGGCCGCGAGGCTCCCTGCAGCCCTAGTGGTGCGGCCATGGCTGGGAGCTGAGCCTGTGGGGAGCACGGGGCTTCGCAGGGGGGCTGCGGAGCCAGGTATGAGCCCCCCCAAGCTCCTCTGCCACCCTGAGTTGGCCTGGAAGGGAGCACGCGGGCTGACACGGGGATGGGACTGGGGCTTCCCAGACATGGCCAGCATGGGGAGCCGGCGTCGCTGCACCTCCTCCCGCCAAGCGAGCTTGTGTGGACACTGGCCTCCGCTGGTCTCCGCTGGCCGGGGCAGCAGGGGAGACACTCCTGTGGACCCCCTGATCTTGTGCAGCGCGGAGAAACCCCGGGGCGCCCGTCTGGGACTGTGCAGGGTCGCGTCACGCCAACTGCTCTTCACCGTCCTGCGCCGTCGGGCCCGCGGCTTCTGGGCCAGGCCCTGGGCGGAGCTCACCTTCCCCACGTCCTGTTTGTGGGGTTCCCAGTGGGTCGCCTTGCCACCCCACTCCAGGCCCTGCTCCTCCAGCCTGTTCTTCCTCTGTCCACACTCGCTGGGCAGCCCCGGACAAGGACGGTCCCGCACTTGGTACTTGTCTGCATCCGGCGTCCGAGCCCCTCGCCGCCCGCGCACCTCCTCTCCTTGGCACCAAAGCCCGTGGCACCCGCCCCGGCGCGCTGCTGGCTCTCAGGGTCGTTTGGGCCGCTGGCTCTCCCGCCGTGTAGTCCGTCTCCCCGGAGGCGGGGGGTCTCCTGGCTGGGCCTCGCCCGAGCGGTTGTCTCGGCCCCGGGGTCTGCTCTTCTGACTCCCCGTCACCTGCTGCCTAGATGGTGGCCGGAGCCTCCCTGGCCTGGCCTGGCCTCTGTTGGCGGTCGGCGCAGGGGGGCACCGGCGCCTCTACAGCCGCGTACATCCTGGTGGCCCTCAGCTGTAGGCCCTCCCGCGGCTCCAGTTCCCTCTCCCCTGGGGAGAAGCCAAAGCTCCGGCCTGGACCCCCTGCGGCGTCCCCCCATCGGTGGCAGGTGCGCTGGCCTTCCCGCTGGTCCTGATGCTGTCGGGGGCTCCGACCCCGTGTGCAGGAGGGGTAGACCCCGAGCTGCGCTCACCCCCCACCTGGCCGCCTGCTTCTCCCGGCCCAGACCACACCTGGAATACGGGGGTTCGGCTCGTTTCCCGGGAGGGAAGCTCCAGGAAGACGGTGCTGTGTGCCCTGACCGCTTGGTGCGGATTCCGAGGGTAGCGCCTGCCGGACAGGTGCCGGGGGAGGTGAAGGCAGGCTGCGAGAATAAAGGCCGGGCTGCGGAGGGTTAGGGCTGTTAAAAACCATGTTTGACTTTTAATTTTGGAAACAAATTAAATACAGTTAAATTAAAACAGACCAGATGGCGCAGCTGCATGGGCCCTGCCGTCTCCCCAGGCTCCGTTCTCGGGGCTCCGAGCCCCCGGCCCCGCTCCTCTGTGGTGCAGAGCAGGGACAGACCAGGTTTGCCAAACACTGTGGTCACGACCCAGCTCTGATTTGGAACAAACTCGCTCCCGACAAAGATGAAAGCTGCAGTCCACCAGGGTTATAATTATAAATAAATACACATGCAGCTACGAGAGGCTATTAGGTGAAAAGAACGGAAATAGGATCCGCCAAAAAAAAAAAAAAAAACCCAAAAAACAAAAAACAGAGAGAGTAATCCCCTTTTGCTGTTCATTATCAATTTCCTGAAAAACGAGCCCTGGGTTTTTGGCTAAGAAGGTGGCCTACGACCAGCCAGGCTGCCCTGAGCGCTCAGGGCGGTGTCGGTGAGTGAGGCAGTGCTGTGCCTGGGTGGATTCATCGCGGGTCGTGCACCCCCGTCCTCCCGCCCGTCACCCCGGCTCCGAGCGGCCCGGGGACCTGCTGGCAACGTCCTGCCCGGCGGAGCCCGGCGGGGCCCAGCGGGGTGATCGCGGACGCTGCGGGGCCCTGAATCCACTTCCCACTCGGCAGCCAGTGCCCCTTCTGACTGGTGGGCTGGGGACGCCCCCCGGAAGGGGCTGCGGGCGGGGGCACCGGTCTCGGGATGTGCACAGAGGGGGGGCTGTTAGCGTTAAAAAATAAACACCTCTTGGGTTGGCTCAGGCTGTTCCTTTTTCTTGACTTGGAAAGGAAAATTGTGGAAAATTGTGCTTCCAGCTTTCAGCAGAGGGCTGTGGTCCGGGGAGCAGCGCACACTGTTCCTGGGGGGCGGGGGGCGCAGGCCGCGCGGCCTCGGAGCCGTAAGAGGGCATGATTTGCACAACAGCGCCCCCTCAGGGTCCAAGTGCCCTCGCCCGTTTGCACGGATCCCCTGAAGCCACAGCCCGCCCCCCAGCACCCCAGCAGGGGCAGGAGGAAGCACGGAGTGGCCCCGGCTCACTCAGCCCCCCCAGGCCTCTAGGCCTCCACACAGAGGGCTCCTGCCTGCCGGGCCAGGGCAAGGGGAAGGCCGAGTGTCCACGGGCCGCACGGTCTCAGTCCAGGTCGGGCCCCGTGCTGGCTCCAGGGCCCCCCACCCTGTGTGGCTGGGAGCAGGTGCGAGGCGCGGGGCCACCACAGGGACGTCCCCCCCAGCGCGGCGGGAGGCTCAGGGGCCCTGCAGCAGGACGGTCGCCCGTGGGGGTCAAGACAGCCTTCTCTGGAGGCAGGAGCCAGGGGGAAGCCAGAGAGGCCTGGCTCCTCAGGGGCAGCTCTGCCCGGGTGTTCCCAGTGCTCCCCGGCAGGTGGCCTGGGCGTCATGCTGGGCCCCAGGAGCGGGCGGGGAAGGCCATACTGCCCCGGACAGCTGGGGGCTTCTCACCTGTCCAGCCTGGCCTCACCCCAGGGCCGGGGCCCCCGTACCTGCCCGCAGGCCCCGTCGCGCAGGGAGCTCGGGCTGGGGCTGGCCCTCTGGGCTAGCGGTGGGGCCGGTCAACCGCAGGGAAGAGAACAACAGGTCTGGGGTCTGTGCTTTAGCTCCTCCGTCCCGTGTCCTGGAGCAGGCTGGGCGCGCTCTGCAGCCCCCGGAGGAGGAGGGTGATGGTGCTTCCTCAGGAGGTTGCCTCGGAGGGACCATCAGCCACGGGAGACGATGGACGGCCAGGAACGGTGCGAGGAGGAGGCTCCTGTGCGGGGAGAGGAGGGACGTGGTGGGGGCAGCAGCGGCGGCCACCCGGCCCATGGTGGGCCCTGTGCAGAGTGCACCCTGGGGTCCCGGGGCCCCTGCCTGGGAGGCGGGCAGGGCCTCCCAGTGACCAGGTGAGGGCGGGGATGGCTGCAGCGGCACCGCTCAAGCTGGACCTCGGCTCGGGGCCCGAACAGGCCACGGAACAGGCCATGGACACCCTGTGGGCCCTGCGGGTGGGCAGGGCAGGCGTGATCCCGAAGCCAGAACATGACTCGGGGATGGCGTGCGCCCCGCCATCTGAGCCCGCCCCCCCCCCCCCGTGGGGAGATCCTAGCGAAGCCCGCGGACAACTCGCGACGGGGACCATCGGGCTCCGGCCCCGCCACCAGCTTCTCTGGGCGCCGTTCCTCTAGCGCTTGAACGGAGAGAGACGAACCGCGGCCCGCGTCGGTGGACGTCTTGAGGAACCAAATACAAAGAGCAACACTTCTGCAGGGAAGACTGGACGGGTGCCCAAGATCGTGGCCGCGCCCCAGCAACGCACCTGGCGGATCAAGCAGCGGAGGCCCAGAGCGCGAGGTCGGAGGTGAGCCGTTCCCCGCTGGCCACTGCGCTGGGCTCTGGGGCCGTCCCCACCACGAGCCCCCTTCCCCTGCAGCGAGTGCCGGCCCCTCGCAGCAGCGAGGACCCACAGGGAGGGCGGAGCCTGGGAGCAAGTCTCCACAGCCTTGCCTTGCCTGGGACCAGAGTCACCACCCAGGTGACCATAGTGATAGGGTCGTCACGAGGCCCCATTCAGAGGCCGCCAGAGGCGCTGGTGGCAGAGGGCCGCAGCTGTGTACGGGAAGGTGTGCTCCGGGGGCAGTGGGAAGGGGACTTGGGCTATGCCCCGTTCATGCTTGCCCCCTTTCCCTGTCCCCCCCCCCCACTCAGTTAACACGAGAGGGTGGTTTGCCCGCGTCCCTGCCGTACCCGTGTCCTGGGGCTCAGATCTCCACAGTGGGGTCGGTGAAGCCTTTCTTCCCCTCATTCACCAGCACCGGCTTCTCCGTCCGCGTGTGCCAGACCAGGATCTGTGTGTGCAGAGACACGGAACAACCTGGGGCAGGCCCCGACCCCGGCCTGCCACCCTGATCCCTCCTCCTCCTCTGCAAGCACTTCTCCTCCTGTTCTGCCCTCGATCATCGAGATTTTCTCCACTGTTCTTTATTTCTACCGACTGCCCCCCCCCACCTGCCGTTTGTACACACGATACATCCCAAATATCTGCTGGAAACAAAAAGTGTGTAACTACAGAAAATACATGGGTCAGCCCCAGGATCTCCTCTCACTTTTCTCCCCCCCCCCCCCCGTTTCTTGATAGGTTCCTCTAGAGAGGGAGAAACTTCTACAGGAAGCTCAGCTAAGCGACAGTCCAGGCTGTCGCTGAAGAAGTCCAAGCTGGACGTGGTGTGCATGTCGGCGTGTGTGTGTGTGATGCGTGTGTGCATGCACCAGGCAGGCACGTGCACGGATGTACGTGCACACGCATGTCTGCAGGGTGGTCCCAGAGCCCAGGTGTTTCCAGGTCTGGGAAGGAATGCACCCTTAGCCCCCCCCCCCCCATGACTGCCACCCTCGTTTCCCCGCTTGATGCCCGGGTGATGGCCGAGGGGACAACCTGCCTGCGTGGGCTCAGCTCCAGGCTGGCCCCTCGCGGGGCTGTGCTGGGCTCTGCGCCCTCTGCTGTGCTCTGCAGGGCGGCAGGGGGCTGGGGGGAGCGTGCCTGGTGCCGCGGAGGGTTTACCTTGGTGCAGTTGGCTGCCTTGGGCTCCAGGTCATTGAGGGTGACAAGTTCTCGGAGGAGGCTGCTTTCCTGGTAGCCGCCTTTGACGCCGCGCAGCTTGAAGTAGGCCTGGCTGCGCTGCAGGATGAGCCGCAGGTTGACGGCAAATCCAGCCATGTCGATGGCGAAGGGTCGGTGCGGGTCGAACACCGTCTTCCAGCCGACCACCTTCCCGGCGCCATTGACCCGCGGCGCCTCGTAGCGAAGGCCACCAACGAAGGCGACGGGCCACACAGACACCCTCCTGGTGCTGCGCATCTACGGGAAGGGACGCGGAGTCAGGACACCTGGGGCTGCCGATGGGGAGAGGTGCCCGGCCCCGGAGGAGGGGACTGAGCTGACCCGGAGCCACTGCAGGGGCTGCAGACGCTCTCCCCGCGGGGACAGCCGCAGCCTGCTTCACCCAGGGAAAGGCTCCTCCACCCGACCTCAGCTTCCTGCCCTGCTGCAAGGCCTAGCCTCCCAGTGTGGAGTCTGGGGGGACCCCTCCCTCCCCGGGCTCCCATGACCCCCAAGCCCCAAGGGCAGCCCGGTCCACGTCGTGGGACCCCCTGGCGGCCGCGCTGGGACAGGAGCTGCGAGGCCACCGCTGCGGTCTGAGGGCTGCACCGCGGGGGGCGACCCCTGAAGCCTGCGGGCTTTTCCCGTCCCTTGTCCCTTCCCCGGTGGCCTGTAGTCTCCACCGACCCCGGCTGGCCCCGTCCCACGCGGCGCCCGCCCCAGGGCCCCCCCAGGCACCCCCGGCCCACCTCCTCGAAGAGCTCCAGGCTGTAGGTGTTGTCGTCGTCGGCGAAGTACACGACGCCGGGCTGGCTCGAGTTGCGCGGGAAGGTCTCGCGCAGCCAGCGCAGGGCCAGGTTGCGCTGCATGGTGCCCCGCGGGATGCGCGGGTCGCGGGCGTCGCCGCGCAGCTTGTAGTTGCGGGGCGTCTCCACGTGCAGGTGCGTGTAGTTGAGGCCCGTGTCGCGCAGCAGGCGCGCGGTGAGCGGGGTCCGGCGCGGCGCGTCCTCCACCACCAGCCAGTGCAGGTTGGGCACGTGCAGCAGCGTGTTGGCCATGCGCGTGAGCTCGGCCTTCTGCACCGGGCGGCTGTAGGTGGGCGTCACCACGTGGATGGTGGGCAGCGTGTCCGACCAGGGCGGCGGCCGCGTGTACACGTACTCCGTGCGCACCACCTCCACGATGTCGCGGTCCGACATGCAGTACTCCCTGGGGTCGGCGCCCGGGGCCGCCTCGCGCCGGGGGTCCCTGCCGTCATCTGCGGGGTGGGGGACACGCCGAGTGGGGCCGGGCCGCCCGGGAGGCCGCCCCGCCCGGCCCTGGCCCCGGCCCCGACTCTGGCCCTGGCCCTGACCCGGGACTGGCCCCACCCCTGTCCACACCCCGGCCCCGCCCCATTCAAACAGGCCCCGCCCACACCTGCCCCTGGCCCCGCCCCCGTTCACAACCCGCCCCGCCCACAACCGGAACCCGCCCCTGGGCCCTCCCACACCCTGACCCCCCCGGCCCCGCCCACACCTCGCCCCGGGCCCCGCCCCCGGCCACAACCCACCCCGCCCCGGCCCCGCCCACCCCCGTTCACCACCCGCCCCGCCCACAACCTGCCCCGCCCACACCCCGGCCCCACCCACACCTGCTCAGTGGCCACGCCCCGCCCACACGTCGCCCCTGGCCCCGCCCTCACCCACACCTCGCCAGTGGCCGTGCCCCACTCAAACCGGCCCCGCCCCAAAGTCCCACCTCATCCACCCCCCCACTCCGCCCATGTCCACACCCCGTCCTGGCCCCGCCCCATTCGCAACTGGCCCCGCCCCAGCCCCGCCCACATCCACCCCACCCCCGGCCCCCGCTCCATTCAAACCGGCCTCGCCCCCAAGTCCCGCCCCATCCACACCCCCTCCGCCCACGTCCACACCCCGTCCTGGCCCTGCCCCATTCACAACCCGCCCTGCCCTGGCCCCGGCCCCAGCCCATCCCCCGTCCACACCCCGGGCCTGATACCGTCCACACCCCAGCCCCATATGCAACCGGCTGTGCCCCGGGCCCCGCCCACATCCACACCCCTGGCCCCGCCCCATTCAAACCGGCCCCCCCCCCGTCCCCAAGCCCCGCCCTGTCCCCGCCACGCCCCCACCCCCCCTCAACAGGATCCTGGCCTGCGCTCCTCCCTCCCCCAGGACCGTCCTCGGAACCCCGCGGGCTCTGGCTTCTAGAACTCTCTGGAACTATCTAGAGCTAACGGAGAAGGCCGCGTCCCTGGAATGCTGCGGGCATCTCCGGGTCCGAGTCCCGAATGACACAGGAATCGCCTCCCACCCTCTCCTCCGCCGGCTGCGAGCGCTTGGGGCGCGGCGGGCCATGTGCCAGGGCGGGCTTCCCCTTCCTCGAGTGCTGGGCTCCACATGGCCAAGTGCCCTGCCGCCTCCCACCCCGGGGCCCTCCTGGCCAGAGCCGGCAGCCCGAGGGGCCTGCATGGCCCGGTGGCGCTGCCCACGGTGGTGTGGACGCTTCCCGGGCCTCGGCGCGCTGGGCCCCATCGAGGCCGAGGCCGGCTCAACCCCATTCCCCGCAAGTCCCTACTCAAGACGGTCCCCGCCTCCTGGTCTTAGGAGTAGCGGTGCAGCATCTCATACTCCACCACCACATCTGCTTCCAGGACCCTGCCGGGGGCTGGCAGGACAATTTGGAATCCTGAATCCGTGATCGTTTGTGCTTTTAGCCGTTTTTAAATCCTAGCCCACACTAAAGGAGCAGTTCTCCGGCTTTGATGTTCGCTCCCGCCCTGTACTTGTGGGGCACTCGCTCAGCCCCCCAAGGGCTGGCGAACCGCTGACCTAGGGTGCAGAGTCCAGCTAGTGTCTCCGCATCGCCCCCAAGGACACCGCGAGGGGCAGTGGGCGAAACCTCGCAGAGCCCAGCCTCTGCTGCAACACTCACAGGCTGGGGGGCCTATTCCTTCTGGAAGGCAGCCTGTGCAGCTGGGGCAGCTCTATTGACCAAGTTTTTTCTTAGATCCTGGACATTTTCCTCATTAGTGAAGCAAGTTCTGTCAAGAGGAGAAGTCAGGGCCACTGGTACTGTTGTTTTTTTTTTGTTTTTTTGTTTTTTTTTTTTAATTTAATTTTATTTTATTTATTTATGATAGGCACACAGTGTGAGAGAGAGAGAGGCAGAGACACAGGCAGAGGGAGAAGCAGGCTCCATGCTGGGACCCCGACGTGGGATTCGATCCCGGGACTCCAGGATCACGCCCTGGGCCAAAGGCAGGCGCTAAACCGCTGCGCCACCCAGGGATCCCGGTACTGTTGTTTTTAATGAGCTCCTCCTCTCCGGGTCGGGGCTTTCTGTCTGAACCACTGTGTGGCCCCCCTGCTCTTACAGCCTCTCAGGAGGAGGTGGGAACAGTCAGGACATACCTGGAGATCCCAATGCCTGGGCGCAGACCCTGTCCACTCGGTCCCTGACTATTGCCCTTGAGCATGTTACTTAGCTCCCGGTGCCTCGATGTCAGCAGCCGCAATAAGCAGTGGAGACCAGCACCTGCTACCTCTATAGCACCTCAGGGATCAACGAGTCAGTGTATGAAAGGCCTCCGAACGCCGCTAGGCCTGCTAGGCAGGCTGCTGTCACTTCCGCGCATACAGGGAGGACGGGTGCCAGCCCTACGTGTGCCCAGCTTCGTGCAGCTGAGCAGGGGTGAAATAAGCATTCTTGCAATTGCATCGAAGCCTGGTCCCAGGGGGGATGCTCAGGATCGGCCCTTGTGTCCCCTCCCCTCCTTCCCATCACTGTCCCTAGCGGATGGGGTGTTATGCGGTGCTTGTATGAGGTGCTCGTCGGAGGCATGTCCCCGGGCTCTGGGAGGAGGTACGGTGAACCCAGAAGACCAGCTCTGGGCTCTTAGAGAGTCACACAGGCCAATGGCACAAGAAGACCTATAGTGATGGCTAAGGAGCACCCGGGCCGGGGACACCATGCCCCCTGGGGTGTGAGTGCACACACGTAGGAAGACCGGCTCAGCCCCTCTTGGGAAAAGGTAACATTTTGGAGGGGTTTGGGGTCAAACTGGGAAAGCAGCACGAAGTTGAAGAAAGAGAGATGGGTGATGGGGATTCTGACCGAGGTATTTTTTGGGTTTATTTATCTTGCAGTCAGTGAAACTGAGGCCTGGGAAGGAGGATTCAGAGCCATCCTCCCCACCTTTCTAACATTCAAATCCTCCCAAACAGGTGGGGCTGGGCCCTGGTCTGGCTCTCCATGCATGTGACCTGGCCACAATGTGAACTCAGCCCTTGTGCTGGCTGCAGGGCTTCTGTAACCTCTGGGTCACAAAGGACTCCCGGCCACCCGGAAATTATTTCATTGCAGCTTTCATCCAGCCCCTTAGCACAGTCTGAGGGGACAGATGCCAGCTCCCTGTCCTCAGGCATCAGTGTCCGTGCTTAGCAAAGCATTCTGAACCTCTGCCCCCAGAGCTCTGCCAAGACCGGAATGCACATGACACTAAGCCACTGTGTAGATGGTAGCGAGCCCTCTGGGATGACGTGGTGGCAGGTTTGCCATTCCAAAATGAAGAGCACCAAAGAGAGATGCTGGAGGATCAAGGTCGGGAGAGGCTCTAGGTGCCCAGCAGTGGGCAGTGGGAATTCTATGATCCTTAGCCTGGAAAGTCTTCCTCATGGAAGCTCCAGGAACTGCTGGGGTGGAGCAGGGCCCACCGCACGACTGTGGAGCAGCCTGGCTTCAGATTGATTCTGGCTACTACCGGCATCCAGATCACTCAGGGTTCTGAGTTACACGTGGATTTACAGGCCCTGCCCCAGACTCCGGGATGGGCCTGCTGCTTTCATATTTTATCCTGCTCCCCATGTAAGATGCTGCACGTTTCAGTAGGAGACTTGCTGCCTTAGTATTAAGTGTAGGGCACGGAGTACACGGGAGGGAAGAAGAGCGTCAGGGAGAGACCAAGGAATGCGGGGCAGGCTAGATGTGGGGCACGTGGAAGGGGCCAGGGAACAGGGAGCCCGGTGGAGCAGGAAAGGCCCCTGGGAGGGGAAAGCTCTGCACTCAAGGCCAGGAGAGGCTGGTTCCAGCCTGTTCATCCATGAGTACTTCGTGGGACTTTTCCTCTATCCAGGCCTATTTCACAAGGTAGGACTAGATCGGGGTCTCCTGCCTGAGCAGGAAAAAAGGGGCAAACGGTACGGTCTCCTGGAGTGGTTTAAAACACAGGCCCGAAACTCCGCCCATCCATCCTTCACTACCCACAGCTGAGAGCAACCAGTCCTTACACATCCTGAGACTGCATGCAGACCTGTGGGTGTGTCTGTGCATGCATGTGTCTATGCATGCGTGTGTGGATGTGTGTCTATGTGCATACGTGTGTCTGTGCATGTGTGCACGCGTGTGCACATGCGCATATCTGTGCATATGTGTCTCTGTGCATGCATGCGTTTGTGGATGCGCATTCTGTGCATGTGTGTCTCTCTGCATGTGTGTCTGTGGATGCGCATGTCTGTTTCTGCATGTGTGTATCTGCGCACGTGTGTGTCTATGCATGTGTGTGTCTGTGCATGTGAATGTGCATATGTGTCTCTGCATGTGTGTCTGCACATGTGCATGTGTGTGCATGTGTGTGCATGTGTATCTCTGCAGGTGTGTGTCTGTAAATGCACGTCTGTGCATGTGTCTCTCTGCATGAATCTGTGCACCTGTGTGCATGTGTGCCTGTGTGCATGTGCATCTTGCATGTGTCTGCATGCGTGTGTCTATGGATGCACGTGTCCGTGCATGTGTGTCTCTGCACATGCGTGTGTCTATGGATGCGTCTGTCTGTGCATGTGCGTCTCTGTGCATGTGTGTCTGTGCATGTGTGTGCATGTGCATGTCTGTGCACATGCGTGTGTTTATGTGTCTTGCACGTGTGTATGCATGCGTGTCTGTATGCGTGTCTCTGCGCATGCGTGTGTAGGTGGCATTCATCAGACTTCCGGAGGGACCGAGACCCTCAGAAGGTAAGCTCTGTGGCCTGGCACATCCTCCGGCTCCCCCAGCTGCCTAGTCAGCGGAAGTGCGGCCCCACCGGTGTTGGCTGCCCTCCTTCTTACTGTGGAGCGGTCAGGGGCTCACCCTTGTGCGTGGTGAGCAGAGGCGCGATGGTGCTCTGGTGCCACACGGTGACCAGCAGCGTCCAGGGCAGCACGATGAGGACAATCGCAAGGATGTCCCGTCTCTTCGGCATCTCCAAGGCTGGCTGGGCCCACAGCTCCTCGTTACCTGAGCGGCGGCAAGGTCAGGAGAAGGGTGGCCCCGGGGGCGACAGCAGCAGACAGTGGCAAGCACAGGGGAGAAAAGAACAGGAATGGGCCGGGCGGGCCAGGCGCGAGGAGAGCAGAGAAGCTGAATGTTGGCTAGCAGGTCTTACCAGCGCTCACAACCCACCCATTGCGGAAGCAGGTTTGCAGGGTCTGGCCAGGCCGGAGAGCGGGAAGGGGTGGCTGTGCCAGGGCGTGCTCAGGAGCCCTGCGAAGTGGACACCTGCAAGAGAGAGCAGGACGGGATGGCCAGAGACCTGGGGGCGGGGCTGGTGCCCAGTAGGGCCTGGCAGGGCTCGGCGCCATCGTCCCCTGAAGCCTGCGCCAGCGCTTCTCTAAGGAGTGACCCAGGCCCGGTGCCCTCAGGCGTGGAGACGTGGCGCGGCCCGCTTCCACGGCTCAGCGGGGCCCAGAAGCTGAGGGCACGGCCTGTGGACCCACGCGTCTCGTGCTCAGCCCCAGCGCCGCCGCCGAGCCCTGTGCCCTTCGCGAGCTCCGGCCACTCTGCCTCAGCGTGCTCCGCAGTCGGGGGCGGGGGGGGGGGGTGGTACTCGCTGCACTCGGCTTCCAGGAGAAGCTCGCTAAGGCCCGCGGAGGCCACGGGATGTGCACACGCGTACCCATGCATGCTCGAGCGACGCTTTCCCCCAGCCGCGGTACCCGGTGCGGCCGCCGGGAGGTACTGGGGACAAGCCCTGGGCCCAAACGCAGCACGGCTCTTCCCTTGGCTCCGGCATCGGCGGAGAAGAGGTGCCTGCGGGGCTGCGCATCCCCAGGCTGCAGCCCGCGCGGCAACGACAGGGGGCCCGGGAGACCCTCGGCCAGCGGGCAGGCCTGCCTGCACATCTTGTCGGTTGTGCGGAGGGTCCGGCACCGCCGTCGGCTGGCCGTGCTGTCCTGCGTGACCAGGTGAGCAGCGCACCGCCCTCACGGCTACCGCGGAATCTGTGCCACCCTGTCGCCTGCCCTCCTTCCCTTCTGTGCTGGGCCTCGTGTACGCTGGGAGCCCAGCGGCGGGGGGGGGGCACATGCCAGCCCGGCCCAGCTGTGTGCACAGGTGGCCTCGGAGAGGCCCGTGGCCAGCAGAGCGTAGGCTCCTCATCCCTGCCAGGGGTCAGGAGCCAAGAACCTCCGTCCCGCCCCCACTCATCTCTCCAAGTTTTGTCGCCTCAGGGAAGGACAGGTCTGCCTCCCAGTACCGTGTGGGGTTTCCGGGGCAGCCCGTACGTCCCGCCGGCCGCCTGCCCTCCTCAGGGGCGTGGAAGGCCCACCAGGCTTGCCCGTCACAGGCGGCGGCACACGACACGCACAGAGCAAGGACAAGGATTTGGGGGTCCGAGTTGTGCCCCCATCACGGCCTCTGCAGGCCTCGGAGCCCAGGCCCCCTCCCAGGAGAAGCGTGTGGTTCTCTGTGCCAGGCTTGAGGACGTGGAGCGGCCTCTGGTCCCCAGCCTCCCGCCTCTGGCACCTGTCGCCCCCCCCCCCCACGTGTCTGCTCGGGCTGCCTCGGCAAGAACCAGCTGTTATGCAGCACCTGGTGGCGTCCACAAGTGACAGCACATCCCACTCGATGCTCGTGACACCTGCAGCCACAGGTGCCGCCGTAACTGCACTTCACAAGGGGGTCATGGAGGCCAGCGGGCACCAGTGATTGTCCAAGGTCAGGTCACAGAGGAGCCAGACGTGAGTCCTGGCCCTTGTGCTCTGCTGTCAGCAGGTCCCCGAGCCTGGAACCTGCCCCGGGTGCAGGGTGAGCACAGGTCTACACGCAGCCTCCAGCCCAGGGCTGCCCCGGAGCCCCCCTTCTGCACAGAAGCCACCTCCACTGTGGGGCTGCGGCAGCGTCTTGGCGGCCAGAGCAGGAGGCAGGTTCTGGGAGAGGAGGATGCAGGCCAGGGTGCGGGGGCCCTGTGCAGACTGATCCCACCTCGTGTTTTTGGCCAAAACAGCTATGAAGGGGGAGGGAGGAGGGGATGAGGGAGAAAAGCTCTAAAAATAAACTCAGCAATAAACCTAGTTGTGCATTAATTACTGTGGAAGCCATTACGGCTTGAAACCCCCATAACTTTAATGGAGCCTATTACAAGCACCGGAGCAGAATTGTGGAGCTAATCAGCAGGCAGTCGGGGCGCGCACGGAGAGGCCCCGCCTCGAGGGAGCCTACGGCGGCGGGGCAGGTGCGCGGGGAGGGACTGGGGCAGGGGGGCCCGGAGCCTCGCCCAGCCCCGCATCCGCAGGGGTGCTCACCTGGGCGCAGCCTTGGCTCGTGCCCTGTGCTGTGGGGCCCCCACTCCCGCTACCCGGCCGCCAGCCCGCTGGAGCACGGGGACCCCGCAGAGGTGGCCCGGGTGGGGGAGGCAAGGCCGGGAGGAGGCCGGCTGGGGTCGCGGGGCCCGGGCCTCCCCGCCTGGTCCTCGTCACTCGCGTCTATGGCGGCCTCCACGGTCAGTGCACACCGGAGGCCCCTCTAGCCTCCCGCGCGCTCGGAGGCCTCCGTCCACTGGACACAGATGACGGCAGTGTGGCCAGGGATGTGGGGATGAGCAGGCGGTCACCCGGCCGGGGCGCAGAGCACTGTGGAGACGGGTGGCCGTGGCCTCGACAGCCTGCCGGTGGGGATAGCGTCGCCTTCACCGGGGCCCAGGCCCACCCTCTGCGGCCCCCAATGTCACCTGGAACCGTGCAGTCTGGGTCGGGGCCCTGGCCCGCTGCAAAGGCACTGCCTTGGCCGCCTGACCTGGCAACATTTAGGGCTCCGTGATGGTGCAGGGGGTCAGGTGGGCACTGGGGCGGGACGCCACAGCCGCACGTCTGTCTGCGTGGAGCTCGGTCAGGACTGGCCCGCTGGGTTCTGGGGAGTCTCGGGCACTGTGTGGGAGCCAGGGGCCCCCGGGTCCAGATGTAGGTGCCCGAGCCCAGGGCAGGGACAGGCAGCCCAGGAGACGCCAGGCCGGGGCCGAGCTGGACGGGTCGTCCGAAGGCGCCGGGGCTTCTCTGAGGCTGCAGAGCTCGCCTGGGGCCTCCTCAGCGCCTGAGTCCACGACACACGGCTGATTCCCCTGCAGCGACAGGTCAGAGCCAGCGCGCCAGGTGGGCGCCTGGGGAGCTCCGGGGCCGCGCTCCCCCCGAGGCCGCAGGCTTCCTCCCGGCACCCCGGAGCCGGGGCGGGGGGTGGGGAAGCCTCCCAGGGTCTGGGAGCCACTCAGCACCGCGCACGTGTGGCCGATGGAGGTCCCCGCACACAAGCGCAGAACCCGCGGGCCAGGGGCCTCTGCAGGATGATGGAGCCACGTTCCCAGCGGGGCTGGTCGCCCGGGGAACCTGGCAGCGTCCTGCACACGGCGCTGCGCAACACGCGTCAGCCTGACAAGTGCCTTTTAAGGAGCCGAGAGCTCCATGTGGGGGCGTACCGGGGCTCTGGGGTCCAGCGTCTGTCCTCAGCCCAGGGCGTGACCCCAGGGGGCCCAGGATCGAGTCCCACGTCGGGCTCCCTGCAGGGTGCCCGCTGCTCCCTCTGCCTGGGTCTCTGCCTCTCTCTCTCTCCCTCTCTCTCTCTCTCTCTGTCTCATGAATAAATAAATAAATCTCAAAAAAACAAAAACAAAGAGCTCAACAGGGACGCCTCCCCCGACCACGGCGCACACGGCGGCTCCCCCGACGCACAGCCCTTGCGCTCGGTCCCGGCTCTCCTCAGGGGGACAGCCCGGTGTCCTCCGTGCCCCCGCGGCCTCCGGCGCGGATCTCTGATGTGGTCCAGGCCCCCAAGGACACCTGGCCAGCCCTTCGGTGCCAGATCCTTGAAGAATCTTTACTTTTCCCACCCGTTTTCACCTAATTTCGACAGCTTTCTCTGTTGACTCAAGGTAGAGGTCTGTTGGGAGCCGGCATCCTAGTTTTCACAGAAGCCCCGCATTGTTCCCCACGGGACTCCCAGCGCAGCCCTTGACGGGTGCCGAGTGCGAGGCGAACACGCGGGAGCCAGCCCACGCCGAACAAGCCTGTGGCTCATGGTCTGCGGGCCCGGAGGGGTGGAGGCCCAGCGTCGCGCTCGCGCAGGCGGCCGTTGGCAAGCAAGCGGGTGGGCAAGGACGTGCCGGGGCCACCGGGGCCAGACCGGCTTGCGCTGTGCATGGAGGGATAGGCCCCATCTGAGCCGCCACATGGACGGGTGTCCTCGCGCAGGGCTCCCAGCTCCAGGGGGCAGCCGGCGACCCGGGGTGTGACCTAGGGGCGCGGTGGCAGGATGCAGGAACAGGGGACACTTTAAGGGAAGCCGGTGGGAGGGATGCTGGCCCCTGTACCCAGACCGCGCTCATCCTGCAGGGGAGCATAGGCCTTGTCCCGGCCCCGCAGGACTCCTCGTGGGATCCAGGGTTAGCTAGGCCCGCGTAGCCAAGGCTCCGGGCCAGCCCCCGGCCGGTGGACCCTGACCTCACCCACCTCGCCCACCCTCGCTCTCCACCCCAACCAGCCTCTGCATGCAGCCACCAGCTCCGGGGCGGGTACGGGGGGGGGCGTGGGGGGGCACACAGGCTTTGCCTACTCCCCGCTGTCCCCCAGGACATGTGTGGGGCGAGGGTCATCAGAACCACACTGCCCAGGCCCCGCTCCCCTTCATCCTCCTGTTGCCCCCACGACCTCAGAAGACATGAGGAGGGCCCTGTGGGCCACTGGGTGCAGTGGCCAGCCCCCCACCCCAACAGCCAGGTGCCCGCCGCCTCAGCAGCCCGAGGGCGGGCAGGGAAACCCGGCCCATGTCACCCCCGCGGGAACCGAGTGAGAAGCATCGCACATCGGCCCCAGGTCTCGGGGGGCCATGGGCACAGCCCCCCCACCCAGGTCGCGGCCAGGGACCCGGGGTGCTCCCCACACCCATGCACTTTCCGTGCCACAGGAAGAGTCCTTGCGTCCTGGCCCTGCAGCCCAGGTGCCTGCCCCTGGCCTGCCCTCTGGTGGGTGGGCTGGGCCCCAGGAAGGGCCCCGGTGCCCAGATTCTGGCGTGCCGCACTGACGGAGGGCCCCGGCCTGGGAGGTCAGCCCCCACCTGGGGGCCCAGCCCCGCTGCCTGGCTCCTGGGTACTGCCGGGGACGGCGGCCAAGCGCACCATGCACCACCTGGCTCCGCACGGGGGCCGCACACCAACGAGGGCTGCGGCCGGGGAGGCTGCGCTCCGCCGGGCCTTGGTGTCACCCGTACCCGGGCTTGGTGTCATGGGCGCCTGG